AAAATTCATGGACCGGTCAACCCCCCTGGCGGGGATTAATACTGGCCGGTATATAAATGTTGTTTGTTGTTGTATGTAAGTATGAATACAGTCTTTTCTATATTTATTTCCATTCATTCATATAATGTACAAAATGTACTTTCTATTTATGAGAATTGTAGTTGTTTGAATTGGACATGTAGTTATTGTTATTTGATTCAATCATACTTAATTTGGGGACTAACAGCTTAATTGTTGTGACAATGTTTGTATTTTTCCACTTTGGAGGAAATACTTATTTAATCTTTGATTTGATCATTTAATAATAAGAAGAAAAAGCAGGATATCATTGCTATAGCAATGACAAAAATGAAAATGACACATTTAAGTGTCCGACTGCCAGATTTTAGACTACCAGATTTACTAATATATAAAAAATCCCAGCAGTGGCACAGGTTACTTGTTAATTGGGGGGGGGGGCCAAAATTCATATATGCATGTCTTAATCTGTTGAAAACAATGGATTTCAAAGGAACTTAATGTGGCAGAACATGAATTTATGAATATGTGCCTCCTACCTAAAATAAAGAGTCTGCTATGTCATTTATTCCCAGGGCATCTTGAAGAGCTCTGGCATTGTGTGTAACAGTTAGTATTTCATTTTGCAAGGAAATTCATATTTTTTTCCAAAACATTACTTGAACATTAGAGAAATTGTGTACAAACTATAAAAAGTTTATATTAGGAATATATTTCTAGGGCAACACCCTCCTTTAAAGTATGTATCCATGTTCAGGAATGAATGACATGACCTGACATTTTTGGCTGTCTTTACGACTGATAAGAACAGTAATTGAGTCATTTCTACTGGTGTCTTTACTACTGATATGGATAGTAATGAGTCATTTTCATTGCTATGACATTCATGTCTTGCTTTTGCTATAGTTTATACTTTACATTGCTTTGAAACTGATTCTCCCAGCTACATAAATGATTTTACCACAATATCACAATACAAAATGTTTTGGTTATGTCTGATCCCAAAAAAATCAAATATAAATTAAAAATGAGATTTACTACATTAAAATGTAAGCAAAAAAAGAACATTGTCACAACAATTAAGGTGTACATCCCCAACCGTAAATAGAAAGGAATGTTGAATCAAGTAACCAAACTATTGATCTTCTCTCCACACACAATTCTTTTAAATACAAATTATATTTTACCATTTATCACAGTGAACAGAAATTTGTATATTTACACAGCAAAGCCAGTGTTTGGGCTTTTTAGAAAACTTACTAAGCACTATAAATTTTACATGTAGATAATGTACATGTTAAGATTTTTCTTATTAAACAACAAAAAGAACCAAACAAACACTCCATTTACACCTTAGCCTACAGAAATTAAAAATACAACTGTTGCTGGTCAGCTAAAGGAGAAAGAAAACATACCCAAAAGCCAGGGCTAACAAAGAATCTTGTTCCTTGAAATGGCGCCACAAAACCATTTCTTTCTGTAAAGACTAAACACAATAAAAATCCTTTGCTGACAAGCATTTTGATAGATCTGGCATTGGTGACCACCTGACAATGTAATTTATCTTTATGTATGTTTTAGGTAGTGATGTAGCCAAGAAAAATGGGGCTTTTACTCTAATTATGTGTGTCTGGCCCATATTTACTGTTGTCATCTCATATGTAGTGTAGTGAGTAACGAAAAAGTAATTGAACAACAAAATATTTATTTTCATAGCACTGGTACACTTGCTATACACTACGAGTTGTCATGGTGTTATTAAAGGCTGAATTCTGATATCTTCCTTTGATTGTTATTTTTTTATTTTCCGTAAATTATACACGTATTTAATAAAATATACATTTAAGTTGATTTATCCAAAGGAGAACCCCCACGGTCTGGGGATCTAAGTTCTTCATACAGGGTGTTTCAAAAAAATGTAATCCAACTTTTACTTGCTGATGTGTGTAAATTACTGAAGAAATAACTGTAGTTTTGAATATTTAAAAGAAGAGTTCTAGGTTCTAGCTGTGGAATGCTATGTTGTTTGTTGCGATTTGGAAGGAAAATGAGTGAAATGCAAGCGCGTTGAAAAATTTTGGTCAAAGTCGAATTCTTTCACTTTTGAACATTTTTCCATCAACATGAAAGGTGCTTCACTTTAATTTTGCTGGTTTGTTTACTGACTATCACATATTTCATGGTGATGTCTCATTTTTCAACCTTGACAATATTTGAAATTATCTGACATTTACAATTTCCATGATTCAGCAAAAATTGATCCTCAAGGAGCCTTAATTAAACGTAGTTAAATACATAATAAATTAATAACTACATACGTATAATATAGAAGCTACAGTGCATTAAAAATCCCAGTCAAGAAACTTATTTTAATTACATTTATACCTCATAGCGTGGAGATCAATCTTTGCCGCTGAATCATGCAAATTTCAAACTATCGGCTGATTTCAAAGATGACCAGTTCTTTTGAGACATATTGTAAGATATTTTGATTACCAAAAAAATTTTTGCAAAGATCATCAAGTGTACGCTCACTACGCTGAAATCGATCGAAATCGCATTGAAAGTTTGAGTTGATCTTAAAATATGCCTCAAGTTGCGGAAAGCGTGTGTTTTCTGATTGGTCAGTTCTTAGGCGTGTACTTAATTCTACATGGTACACAAGTAAAAATGACTTGCTAATTGCATCTCATTTCTTTTTATTTTTATGAGCGAACGCTTTCATTTTTAAGGTTTACTGCTTGCGTAAAGCCTGGTTCACATATAACTGAGACATGACTGAGGCATACCTGTGACGATGTCTGCATTGTTCTTAAGGCAAATGTCAACACTCATCGCTGACACACTAATGGTGTCTCAGGCAGTCGTAGGAGTTACCTGCAGTATGTTACCGGCTGAAATGTCGTAAGAGTTGAGTTGTGTTCAAGTTTCCCGGCTGAACGGCGATGTACAGAACATATTTTGGTTATTTATGTTAAATGTGAACGTTTCTCAGATTGACCGGTGGCAATATTTCCCACACGCATTTGTGTAAAAAGATGGCGGATGAATTTTCAACACAGTACATGGAACCAAAAAAAGACTGAATGGAACAATTCCGATCACTTCACGATAAAAATAAAAACTTATGGATACAATACGAAACTATCGGGCTATTTATGATAAATCGTGTCCAGAGTACAAAAATCAAAGAGTAAAATACAAATTATTCTCTTTTTTTCAAACCGGCTCTCCCATCTTTGATGTATTTTGAAATGACTGTTAAAAGGGCCACATAATTTGCTAATAGTAACGCTATTTTCAAATTACGAAGCACTATTTTGTCAAATTCAAACTGCAGCTAAATTTTTGTGGTCTATCGGCGATTTGAATTATGTCATTGAAAAGCATCGCAGACATGCCTCAGGTCTGCCTCAGCCACAAGATCAGAAAGCATCTCAGGCTTGCCCTTAATAATGCCTCAGTCATGTCTCAGTCATATGTGAACCAGGCTTGAGAAGAAAATTCTTTATGTCGTTGTAAGCGTAACGTTCTTTTCAAACGTCGCATTTTACACGAACAAAATGCATTAAAAACAAAGGAAAATGAGAAAAAATCCACGATATCTTTTGTTTTAAATGTATTCGGCACATGTAAAATGATATCGAAAATAATGAGTTACAATGAAACAATGTTAGTGGTCCAAAAACAAAAGAATATTTTACAAATAATAGAAATGACATTGTTTAGTACAACCAAAGAAGTTAAGTCAATTTAGCAAGAAAATATTTCTTGTGATCATTTATGTACATTTATACCTGTATTAGATGGCAATCCTTGACAAAATAGCGAAATGTTGATCCATTATGATCCATTATAAATTACTGGAACTCCAAAACCTTTTAGATTTGTGCTATAAAAATATGAATGTTTAAATAACAAAGTTTAACCATGGGCGGTCCAAAAAATCACTGAAATTGTATAAACAAACGATAACTCGCCCAATTCCATCGTAACAAACCGTGCCCCGCAAACTTTGTATTGATTAATTGTATCTATATTATATATTTACGTAAAAAATATATTAATAAAACAAATACATAAATAAATATATAATATAGATACAATTAATCAATACAAATTTTCGGGCACGGTCTGTTACAATGGAATGGGGCGAGTTATCGTTTGTTTATACAATTTAAATATTTTGAACCATTTAACCTCACAAAGTCAAATCTATAACAAATGTGCTGCGCCAAGAAAATTCTCTAGTGAAAAATGTGAAATCTCTATTTCATCAAGATTTCAACGATGATAATATACCATCAACATTTGGTGGTTATATTGTTTACCTCTGACTGACCATAACTTTCTTCAATTGTTTTTTGAAAGTCTCTTAATGTCATTCCATATTCCATATTTGTTTTTAACTTCTCTAGTTTAAACATAACAGGACAATCCAGTGATATACAGCTCAGTTGTTCATCTCTAGCTCCACAACACTGAAAACATATCTACAATATGAAAAAAATTTAAATGTCATGAAAAAGACAAACCATAATTATTAGGTTCTTTATTATGCATACCTCTTTAAGATGACTGTATTTACTTTCCCAGTTCCCCACTCTACTTGCCAGAATAAAGACAGACTTTTGAGGGTTGCTACGACAACTTTGACACAAACCGTGCTGTGTTAATTGTTCACATACAGGACAGTGTAGAGTTGTAAAAAACCGAGAAATCGAACGCTAAAATATGTTCAAATAAATTAATTTAGCTTTTACATCAATTCATGAATGTACTGATGACAACTAACTTTTTGTTTCCTTGCAATAACACGATGTCGAGGGATATAGCGGGGTAGTTGTGTATACCATGAAAACACATCAACACCAATCAAGGAAAAAATCGATCCAATGGAGGAAGTATTTGTTTCTGAACATAGTAGATGGTATTGAGGCGTAGATTTTTATCATTTAACACATCAATAGGACTGAAGAAAATTAAAACAAGAAGATGGTTTAATTAAGACAATCATATTTATACTAAAGTATTTATTAATAGGTGACAGCTTCTTAAAAGTATTTCTGTTCCTGAAAAGTATTTTCCGCTTCATCCTCCGAACTGCAAGTGAAGAAGACAGCTACTTTAAGATGTTTACAGTGTTTTCGCATGTTTATAAAAACCAAGGAGACCTTGGGGAGAACTTGAGAGCTGATAAGTGCTGAGCCAAGTCAAAGGCTCAAAAGTTCTCACTAACGTCTCCGATGTTTGTATAAGCCTGTATAAGCAATAAAAACGTCATTTAAAACGACAATAATACAAAACAGACAAATTTAAAACTAAATGTTTTACAGCTATTTGCAATTGACCGTGCCGCGTGGATATTTTAAACGTTTGTTAATAGTCTAAGGGTTACACCTTAGCAACAATCAGTTAGCCGTTAGTAACGTCAAGTTTTGAAACTATAACAAACGTTTAATTTATGCACGCCTCACGGTCAATTGCAAAGGGTGGTAATTTTTCCTGTAACATGTATTCATGATTGATTTGGAAATTCTCTTTGATTGATTTTAATTGATTGAGCTCAGATAGGTTCGCTCATGCCAAGTTTGCTAATGTTAACTCAACTATAGACAAATCAACGCAGGCATTTTTCTGTCTTTATTTTATAAACAAAAATGGATACTTTTACCTTTGGGAATCATGTTCCTCTTCATCATCTTTCCAAAATGGCTGTGACATTAATATTGATTCTTTATCTTCATCAATATCTTCATCATGTTCATCATCACTACCTTCTCAATAAACAATAAAATAAAAAAGATTGATTGAAAAACTTCATATAAGACAAATTTTACTAAACACAAATGAAACTGTACACAATCACCATTGATATCCATGTCTTATCATGGCAGTGTGCGAATTAACGGTGTGCAATGTGTAATTTACACATCGTTTTAGCTAAAAACTTTACTCATCTTTACTTTATAAACGAGTGCGCTGCACGACATTAAAATCCTTGTTGACACAATGTCATCAAATTCAAAGATGTTGTCACTGAGACTGGGAAGTCTGTCAACAGTCAACATACATGGTGCTTATATGCTTATGACAATAGGGGTGTAATATATTATTAATGTCAATTTTTGCATTTGCATTGTTTTGTAAACCGTTACGTACTGTTTTTGGCATCATAGCTATTTTGAGTATTTTCAGTAAAATCAGGAAACATTTTGATTTTGATTCTTAAAAGACAAAAAAAACTTAAACAAGCCAAATTTAAAAAATAAACCAAAGGGAATTTCGATTTTAAATAAGCCTAACGTGAGAAAAAGAAGCCAAATTTAGCTCAAATTATGAAACCAAACTGACAACCTTGAACAAATATGAAATTTTTTATCGTAAATAAACATCAAAGATGTTACTGTTAATAATCAGAAAGCAAAAGTATATTCGGTAATTCTCTTTTCACTTTTGTCTTTCTTGTCATTTTCGTCAAAAGGTTGTAGCTACCAGCAAAGTTAATACAGTAAAAAAATGGATGGAAACATCAAATGCTGACTCGTTTGAGTACTAGGATGATGGCCAAGAGGTGAATTTATTGCGCTGTAAAGTTTGCTCAAAAAAAGAGGAGAGAATAACATGTGCAAAAAAATTTCTCTCGTACATTTGTAACTTGATCAGCGATTGTAACGAAAAACACTGTCGTAAATCATATGAATTTGTGCACGTTCAAAAACATTAATTTAGTAATTAGCGCTGTATAATATTTAACGCCATATCGATTTGATTATGCCTCTAAAGAAACACTTTTGTCAAAAAAAATTGCACATCGTTTTTTCTGAACTAATTCACACACTGTATACGATCTAACGACAAAAAAAAGTTGAAATTTTACCTACGTATTGTTAACTGTTAAGTAAAAGAAAATTAATAAAGGAGCAGTTGTACACATCTTCATGTAACGATGACAATGTTTAAACTTAAGAAAACATGAAATTTTATACACTAGAAATCAGCTGCATTTTGGGATATATAAGTCAGAGCCTCATAAATCATAAATACCATGACAATATAAAATACATGAAATGTATTGTGAGTTATACAATGATGTGACATGTATTTTTTTGTACCTTACCTTGTGAAACAGGAAGAGCAACTTGTGAAGATAGTCCAATATCTCGTCTTCGTTGTCTTTCATCTTCCCACGTAGCAGTTATACCAGGATTATGACCAATACAACCTTCATAAACATAATAAACTCATTAAAGATGTATAAACAGTAAAATGAAGACATAAAGATAAGTAAATTTTACTTTCAACATTTATTTGATTCAAGATGTCTTTAGCAATTACATCAACTTCAAGTTCACAACGACTGACTTTTTTCACAGTAGGATCCAGACATAAATTTCTAAATAATGACAAATAACAAACATTAAAATGATGAATATCAACTGTAAAGATAGTTATCACAAAGAATCATTCCAAAGTTAAACTAATTTTTTAAATGTAAATTCTGTAATCTGGATTGAGCATTGACTCTAAATCTTGGGATAAATCATATGCACATGTGTCAAATTTAGGATTAAGGATTTACACAAATCCTTTTGGTTTCAATTAATCTTCAAGTGTAAAATATATGAATCAGACAAACCTAGGAATAGTGTCTTCATTCCAGTGTTGAGATGAAGGAAAATTGAGAAATGAATTTGGAGATGAACCATGAAGTGGAATTGATTTATTATTATATGAAAGATTTTTATCAATAAAATTCAATTTGATGGTAAATAATCATTTGTGGTGTTAGATTTTTATAGAATGCTGAAAAATCAATAATGAAACTTTCCTGTTTTGAAGAAATTCCTCTAAAATGAACTTTTCTTACATGAAGTAAGTTCATACCATAAAGATTGTAATCAATTAGAAACTAAAATAAACGATATTTCAATATAATTCTTATAATGTAACTTAGTGAAAATCTATAGAAGTTGACCATCCAGGTAGGAAAAGACTAAAGAAGGTCAGTGGCATTAGTGTTGAATGACATTTTAACATTGTTACCAGTAATCATCTCATCTAGATGTGAAAACATCAATCAAGACTACCCCAACAGTCCTTCTCAATACTGTAGTATCCTTTATGATCAACATCAACAAACATGCAGCTATATTTCCACAATGTGTTCAAACCATTCACTTTATTGACAAAATGTTTTGCACATGAAATTTACAGCTATAATCCATAATGGAATGTTTTATTGGGCACCTGAGATCTGATGTATAATTATAGCAAAGTGGGCACCTATACATGCAAATGTTGCATCTCTGATGTCGGTAGAAAAGTCAGCCCATTTTTTACTCCTATGTACAATACAAATATTGCTTTAATCAATTACTTTGAAAAACAATGAATGAGATTTATTTCTAAAGATATAAACAACAAACTTTGCAGGCCTTGCCCCCTGTCTGGTGCACAGTTTACAAACTAACCACTCCAGTCTGGGTTTTAACAATCAAAGATAAGTTTTTCCTCATTAATAATAAAAAACAATAATTACCTGTAGAATATAAGGAACATGAGCTTCGTGTGGTTGAAATGACTTGTTCAATATAGCTCCATTCTGAAGAAGATCAACAAGTCTGAAAAAAATGAAAAATTTTGATGTCGTTTTATGTTAGAACAACATGAAAAATATATCTTACTTGGGAATTATTCTTGGATTGTACAACTCCATCTTAATAAACTCTTCTTCGTTCTCATGATAACCATAAAATGGTCTAAAAAATAAAATCATTTTGGGTGAATAATATTGAAACGTTATTGGGTCGAAAATGGAAGATTTTGTATTGTTGTAAAGCTTTGTCAACATGAGGAGAAAACAAGGAAAATAACTTACATTTTTTTAACAATTTCAGTTTTATGAACATATTTCATAGAAGATGATGTTCTACCAAACGCAACTTGAACAGCAAAGTCTACACTTGTCGTAAATTGTTTCAGATATTTATCTGTGGGTTTAGTTCCATCGTAAGGTATGTATAAGTAAGGAAATACTTGATGAATATGAACACAAGTTTTCTGTCCACCAGGAGTTGAGCAAAATATCCTCAAAACTGGAACACCGTTAACATTCGCCTCGCGAAATTTAGAAAACAAAATATCTAAGCCATCTATAGGTTTTCCCACGTAAAAATCTGCATCTACAATCCTAACAGAAAACATTCTGTTGTTCCAAGTAAGAAAATATATCGTCAATTAAAATTTTTGAAAGACGAAAGACGAGAGTTGAATCCGCCATATTTGTTTTAGATTATAGATTAGCCAATCAAAGATTTTATAATCAAACCCTTATACCAAGTCATCGTAGTCACCTTTTTGCGATTAGATGGGATTTAGAAATTTTCCAAGGGTTAGCATGACTTTATAGACCTCGCTAGAAAGGCTCACGCGTTTGGCGTTAGAAAATATGCTCCCCAGAAGTTCATGTCTTTCTTTATGTCTAACTACGACACTGCATGTAAAGGATTTCCGCTTTCGTCGAGCAAAATAGTGTCCGCATCCTAATGTTTTGGTCCCGTACACCCATGTCAATACTGAAAATTAATAATAGTTAAATGTGTACAACATTTATGAGTTGATTGAGTTGAACTGAATTTGAATTTGCAATAAAATTTCTAAATCAATCCATGTCGTGTATATTTCAATTATAGCAAAAACATAAAATTTGCTCTTCTCATTTTATCGTCTCGCTGTTATGAACAGAATTCAATATTTTACAATAAAAACAGCAGGTGATTAAAATCAAGCATTTATTGAACATTCCAATTTCTTTATTATGACGAAAAAGCAAAGACATCATGTAGATGGTTGCGTCCTCTTTAATCTTTCGAAATTTGTTAAGGTATGTTGGTTGAAAAGTTTACCTATTATAGTGTCATTGTTTGTTCTTATGTCTAAAATTTTGATATAGTTGTAATAAAAACCTGAATGTCATTTTCGTGGTGGAATTCGCACTTCATATGTTTTATATTGATACGTCTGTTGATTTTGGTTGGATTTTCCCAATAGCACATTGGATAATTTATCATTTCAAAATACTGACCTTTCTTGTATTATCACCAACAATTAATTTCAATAGTCTTTTCAAATATCATTGGTACGGCAAGGCTAAATAATTAACAAGATGAATCAAAATTATGACACGTCACAGAACTATAGTTATGCATATCATAAATGCGGAATAATTTTAATTTTATCTAACATTGCTTTATCAAGAATTTTTTCCTCTTTCAAATAGTCATCTATCTATTTATCTTATTCCTAACACAGATGATGACATAAAAACGTTTTGCTTGGTATGTCTATAGAAATTGCGCCTAATTGGAGTAAAAAGCTCACATCTTCACGTGATAGTACACGTGATTATATTCTGATCTATATTTGTTCAACTTGTTGTAAGATAGACTATTTAAAATATTTGTTTGCATCAAAAGTTCACATAATGACAAAACTTTGCATGACAAACTGTTAAGTCCAAACGCTATCAGTTTTGAAGTATCTCTGATTATTGAGATGTGAGAGAATTAACCGTCTTATCTAGTATAATTCGTCAAAAATAATTATTGGAAAAGTTGTTGTTTATAATCTTAATTTTTTTTAGCTATCTTATTGGTAAAAATGGTATTATATATTTTGCCTCGCTGCCTCAACTTTGCGTTTGTTAAATAGTTTAGTTTTCCTGAGCATTTCATTAATTCAAATAAATATATGTAAACTGTGTATAAGGTTTATCAAATTTAACTAAAAAATAATTTGTTGTTAAATTTATAAATCATCCCTTCTTCGTGTATTCTCATCAGTCCTGGCTAAAATGAAAAATTTGCCCATCTCATTTTATTGTCTCGCTGTTATGAACAGAGTTCAATATTTCACAATAAAAACAGCAGGTGATTAAAATCAAGCACTTATTGAGCATTCCAATTTCTTTATTATCAAGCAGAAGCAAAGACATCATGTGAATGGTTGCGTCTCCCTTAATCTTTCTAAATTTGTTAAGGTATGTTGATTATAAAGTTCACCTGTCATTCTGTCACTGTTTGTTCTTATGTCTAGAATTTTGTTATATTTGTCATAAAAAACCTGAATGTCATTTTCGTGGTGGAATTTGCACTTCATATGTTTTATATTGATACGTCTGTTGATTTTGGTTGGATTTTCCCAATAATACATTGAATAGTTTATCATTTCAAAATACTGACCTTTCTGGCATTGTCACCAACAATTAATTTCAATAGTCTTTTCAAATATCATTGGTACGGCAAGGCTAAATAATTAACAAGATGAATCAAAATTATGACACGTCACAGACTTTTAGTTATGCATATCATTATGTGCAATAATTTTAATTTTATCTAACATTGCTTTTATCAAGAAGAATTTTTTCCTCTTTTACATAGTCATCTATGTATTTATCATATTCGTAACACAGATGATGACATAAAAACGTTTTGTTAGGTATGTCTTTAGAAATTGCGCCTAATTGGAGTAAAAGCTCACTTCTTCACGTGATAGTACACGTGATTTTTCTGGTCTATAATTGTTCAATTTGTTGTAAGATAGACTTTTTAAAATATTTGTTTGCGTCAAAAGTTCACAAAATGACAAAACATTGCATGATGAATTGTCAAGTCCAAACGCTATCAGTTTTGAAGTATCTCTGATTACTGAGATGTGAGAAAATTATTCGTCTTACCTAGTATCAGTCGTCAAAAATAATTATAAGAAAAGTTGTTGTTTATAATCTTAATTTTTTTTAGCTATCTTATTCGTAAAAATGGTATTATATATTTTGCCTCGCTGCCTCAACTTTGCGTTTGTTAAATAGTTTAGTTTTCCTGAACGTTTCAATAATTCAAATAAATATATGTAAACTGTGTATAAGGTTTATCAAATTTAACTGAAACATAATTTGTTGTAAAATTTATAAATCATCCCTTCTTCGTGTATTCTCATCAGTTATAACTAAAATATAAAATTTGCCCATCTCATTTTATCGTCTCGCTGTTATGAACAGAGTTCAATATTTCACAATAAAAACAGCAGGTGATTAAAATCAAGCACTTATTGAGCATTCCAATTTCTTTATTATCAAGCAGAAGCAAAGACATCATATCAATGGTTGCGTCTCCCTTAATCTTTCTAAATTTGTTAAGGTATGTTGATTATAAAGTTCACCTATCATTCTGTCACTGTTTGTTCTTATGTCTAGAATTTTGTTATATTTGTCATAAAAAACCTGAATGTCATTTTCGTGGTGGAATTCGCACTTCATATGTTTTATATTGATACATCTGTTGATTTTGGTGGGATTTTCCCAATAACACATTGGATAGTTTATCATTTCAAAATACTGACCTTTCTGGCATTGTCACCAACAATTAATTTCAATAGTCTTTTCAAATATCATTGGTACGGCAAGGCTAAATAATTAACAAGATGAATCAAAATTATGACACGTCACAGACTTTCAGTTATGCATACATTATGTGCAATAATTTTAATTTTATCTAACATTGCTTTTATCAAGAAGAATTTTTTCCTCTTTTACATAGACATCTATGTATTTATCTTATTCGTAACACAGATGATGACATAAAAACGTTTTGTTAGGTATGTCTATAGAAATTGCGCCTAATTGGGGTAAAAAGCTCACATCTTCACGTGATAGTACACGTGATTTTGATCTGGTCTATATTTGTTCAACTTGTTGTAAGATAGACTATTTAAAATATTTGTTTGTGTCAAAAGTTCACAAAATGACAAAACATTGCATGATGAACTGTCAAGTCCAAACGCTATCAGTTTTGAAGTATCTATGATTACTGAGATGTGAGAAAATTATTCGTCTTACCTAGTATCAGTCGTCAAAAATAATTATTGGAAAACTTGTTGTTCATAATCTTAATTTTTTTTAGCTATCTTATTCGTAAAAATGGTATTGTATATTTTGCCTCGCTGCCTCAACTTTGCGATTGTTAATAGTTTAGTTTTCCAGAGCATTTCAATAATTCAAATTAATATATGTAAACTGTGTATAAGGTTTATCAAATTTAAGTGAAACATAATTTGTTGTTAAATTTATAAATCATCCCTTCTTCATGTATTCTCATCAGTCCTGGCTAAAATGAAAAATTTGCCCATCTCATTTTATTGTCTCGCTGTTATGAACAGAAATCAATATTTTACAATAAAAACAGCAGGTGATTAAAACCAAGCATTTATTGAACATTCCAATTTCTTTATTATCAAGAAAAAGCAAAGACATCATGTGAATGGTTGCGTCTCCCTTAATCTTTCTAAATTTGTTAAGGTATGTTGATTATAAAGTTCACCTATCATAGTGTAATTGTTTGTTCTTATGTCTAGAATTTTGTTATATTTGTCATAAAAAACCTGAATGTCATTTTCGTGGTGGAATTCGCGCTTCATATGTTTTATTTTGATACATCTGTTGATTTTGGTGGGATTTTCCCAATAACACATTGGATAATTTATCATTTCAAAATACTGACCTTTCTTGCATTGTCATCAACAATTAATTTCAATAGTCTTTTCAAATATCATTGGTACGGCAGGGCTAAAAATCAACAAGATGAATCAAAATCATGACACGTCACAGAATTTCAGTTAGGCATATCATAAATGCGGAATGATTTTAATTTTATCCAACATGGCTTTTATCAAGAATAATTTTTTCCATATTCATATAGTCATCTAGCTGTTTATCTTATTCCTAACACAGATGATGACATAAAAACGTTTTGCTAGGTATGTCTTTGGAAATTGCGCCTAATTAGATTAAAAAGCTCACATCTTCACGTGATAATACACGTGATTTTTTCTGGTCTATAATTGTTCAACTTGTGGTAAGATAGACTATTTAAAATATTTGTTTGCATCAAAAGTTCACAAAATGACAAAACTTTGCATGATGAACTGTCAAGTCCAAACGCTATCAGTTTTGAAGTATCTCTGATTACTGAGATGTGAGAAAATTATTCGTCTTACCTAGTATCAGTCGTCAAAAATAATTATAAGAAAAGTTGTGGTTTATAATCTTAATTTTTTCGAGCTATCTTATTGGTAAAAATGGTATTATATATTTTGCCTCGCTGCCTCACTTTTGCGTTTGTTAATAGTTTAGTTTTCCAGAGCATTTCAAAAATTCAAATAAATATATGTAAACTGTGTATAAGGTTTATCAAATTTAACTGAAACATAATTTGTTGTTAAATTTATAAATCATCCCTTCTTCATGTATTCTCATCAGTCATAGCTAAAATATAAAATTTGCCCATCTCATTTTATCGTCTCGCTGTATGACAGAACTCAATATTTTACAATAAAAACAGCAGAGTTAAAATCAAGCATTTATTGAATATTCCAATTTCTTTATTATCAAAAGCAAAGACATGATGTAGTTGTTTGCGTCTCCTTTAATCTTTTCTAAATTTGTTAAGGTAAATTGATTTTTAATTTCACCTTTCATAGATAATTGGATAATTTATCATTTCAAAATACAGACTATTCTTCCATTATCACCAACAATTAATTGCACTAGTCTTTTCAAATATCATTGGTACGGCAAGGCTAAAAAATCAACATTTTCACCATTCTTATCTATTTCCTCATATCCTTCGGGTTACTGCATATAAATTTCGCGGTCCATTGGGGCGTTAAGATAAGCTGTTTTTACATCCATCTGATGCAATAACATGTTGTTTTGAACAGCGTGTTGAAGCAATACACGGATAGAACACATGCGTGCAGCTGGCGAAAAAGTTTCGTTGTAGTCAATACCGGGAGTCTGCGAGTATCGTTTTGCTACATAACGGGCTTTATGTGTCTCTTCTTCACGTTACCCTACTTTTACGGTATATACCCATTTTCCTCCACTATGTCTCTATTTGTTGGGGGTGGAACAAGTTTAAACGTATCATTGTCAATTAACGCTTTAATTTCATCATTCATGGCTTTTTGCCATTTTGCATTTTCATTGGAGCTTATTGCTTGGGAATATGTTGTTGGGATGTTGGATACTCTATAGCAATAATCTACGGTATATGAGACAGTATCCTCCCCTGAAACTTCTTCTGTCGCATACTCGTCAAGATATTTAGGCTTCTTATCCTAGTGGGGTATCTTGATTCTCTAGATGTCTCTGGAGCACTAATGTCTTCGTTAGTTGTTTTGGGGTTTCTTTGATGCAATTTTGCTATCTGAGGTGCAAGTTCTTTATCATCTAGTTTTGGCAACTCCGTGCTATACCCTGCCTGAAGAACTTAACGCATCTTACACGCTCTACCTTGTTAATGTCAGGGTAGTATAGTAGATATGCTGGACTATTTTTATCATACCCTACGAAAATACCTTGTTTACTTCTAGGGTCTAACTTTTTGGAATTTTGTGAATAACCATATTAAACACGACCAAAAACGTGCATTTTGCTCAAGTCTGGTTTTGAGTAGCAGTACCTTTACCGACAACTCCTTTTTGTTACTGCTATCTGCTAATTCAATAACATGCGCTTCACTATCAAATTTACTTTTAAAAGCTATAAATTTGGACTTATCGTTAATAATGTGACTTGCACCTTATCCTTCACGTCTGTTTCAGCGTTCTCTTCTTCATCCTTTGACACGAATAAAAAGAAGTGTTGCCGTTCACTGTCACAGCGCTGCCCGTCTTTAGCTGACTTGGATGTTTCTTTAGTCTTTCGGCAATCTTTCGTGTCGTGGGTCTTGATCTTGCATATGGAGCACCATTTGTTCCCCTTTACTCGGCATTGTGAGCTTTTGTGTCTCTTCTTCCACATTTATTTCGCTAGCAACGGACGTGGTAAAATTTTGTGCTCCCCCCCCCCACTCGCAAAATCCTGGCAGCGCCACTACAAAAATGTAGCAAAATGCCTAAAGGAAGGAAAACTAAAAAGTCCAATTGCGTTGTTTTCAGCTGCCATCCTCGATATTCATTTACACGTACAAGTAAAACTGTAACATTACGTAGCTATGTTTGATCTTCAACAATTTTAGTTGTCTATAAATTCAAATTAAACAAACAATTTATGTTGATATTAATAATTTGATGACCCTTAGATGCAGTCAAGAGAAAAAATTAATAAATTCTACCTGCAAGAAATACTTACAGATGTTACAAAGAAACTTGTTGATTTTTTTATCCAAGAATGGAACACTCATTACAAAAAATCTCTTGGAGAATGGGAAAATACAAACGTTAGTGGTCAGAAGATGTTCAATGTTGAAATTTCAAAAGACCTCCTGAAAACATATTTTGTCAAAATTTCAAAATGGTGACACCAGTAAGTGGGATTGTACGACGCTATTTGCAGCAATATTGTATTCCAAATCAATTGGAACAAAATTAATCCAAAAGTTAGAGATGCTGTGAATGAAATTCGTTTAGTAAGAAACAAAATCGCTCATAATGAAGATGGAAAAGTATCTGATACCGAATTTGACAAAATGCTTTGTGATATTGAAAAGTCATTTCAAGATCTAGGATTTTCATTCACTGAAATTATCAAAATAAAAAGTCAACGAAACAAATTTAATTCTTTTCAAGTACTTCCTTGCAAATCAAATCACAATGTGATTAAACGTACAGAGTTACTTAATCAAATCACAGCAGATCTCAATAACTTGCGCATTACTAACAATAATGAACTAACATATTACTATATTTCTGGTAATCCCGGAAGTGGTAAATCTCAATTAGCTAGACAAATTTGTGAAGAAATGTATAACTCATTTGACTGGGAAAAGAATACGACATTTGTGATGACACTCGAAGGAAAAGATATCGACTCTCTTTTCAAAACTTATGCTGAACTTTATCAACGATTAAGCAATGATAAAACTGTCATTGAAAATATTCTAAAAGAAGCAAAAAGCAGCGAAGACAAAATTAAAGATTTTCAATTATTGCTGACAGAACAACTGAAATCTTGGCAAACATGGTGGATTGTTGTAGATAACGTGGTTGAACTTCATAAAATTTATCCATTATTACCTCAAGTTGGTGATCATAGCTGGAAAAATGGTCAAATTATAGTAACTGTCCAAAATACAGATGCTATACCACCAGATGGAAATCTAAATAAGCACATTTCAGTTAGTCATGGTATGAACAATGAAGAATGTCGACAACTTCTATCTGTCTTTTCTGATATTCATAATAAAGATGAAAAATTTTAAAGGATTTATCAGACAAATTAGATCGTCAACCGTTGTTCCTGGCAAATGCTGCTTCCTACGTAGGTAGTGTAAAAGTGTAAATCCGACATTCACGTGGGAGCAATATTTTGATAAGTTGAATGAAGGAGAGCGACAGAACATGGATGGCAATTTTCAAAAATAAACACATCTTACTTAGGAATGAAAACTGTTATGTTAGCAGTACAAAAATGCTGAAGAATCCATCTTGTTGGAACATGTTTTAAACTTTTCTCAATAATATCTTTCGATCCCTTACCACAAGATGTTATAATACAATTTATTAAAAGCATTGATCCACAAAAATCTGCAGAAGATGTCTGTCTTCAATTAAAGCATTGTTCTTTATTCCTTCAAACGGAAAACAACGACATCCGCCTGCACAGCGTTGTACACGAAGCCATCATAAATTATTCATCGCAGACCTTTGGCTGTAAACAAAACGAAAATAATTCTAAAAGTCTGCAGCTGATCTTGCCTGTCAAGTTGCTTGGGCACTAAATCATTTTAAAGACAGAGAAGATGAAATCAAAATAATTCCACATCTAATTAAATTCATAACAAATTCATCATTTCAACATTTCCTAAATAAGTTGATCGATGTAAAATCATCAAAACAAAACTTGATGAAAGAAATTTGAAATTTGCCAAATATTTTGTAGATGTTTTGAAAAGATTTTACAACTATAAACTTGCAACTAAAGTACTTTATGAAATAACAGAAATTCAAACTAAAGTGTTAGGTGTTGATCATATTGATGTTTCATATTCGTACAACGAGCTGGGTGTTTTGCTTTGGAAGAATGGAGAATATGAAAATGCTAAAGATTTTCTCGAGCGAGCAATGGAAATTCAAACAAAAACATTTGGACCTGACCATGTTAATATTGCGACAACGTACAACAATCTGGGTTTGGTTTACAGTGAAATGGGAGAGTACAAAAAAGCAAAAGATTTTATTGAACGAGCGATAGAAATTCAAACAAAAACATTTGGACCTGACCATGTTAATATTGCGACAACGTACAACAATCTGGGTTTGGTTTACAATAATATGGGAGAGTACGAAAAAGCAAAAGATTTTTATGAACGAGCGATAGAAATTGAAACGAAAACATTTGGACCTGACCATGTTAATATTGCGACAACGTACAACAATCTGGGTTTGGTTTACAATAATATGGGAGAGTACGAAAAAGCAAAAGATTTTTATGAACGAGCGATAGAAATTGAAACGAAAACATTTGGACCTGACCATGTTAATATTGCGACAACGTACAACAATCTGGGTTTGGTTTACAATAATATGGGAGAGTACGAAAAAGCAAAAGATTTTATGAACGAGCGATAGAAATTGAAACGAAAACATTTGGACCTGACCATGTTAATATTGCGATAAGGTACAACAATCTGGGTTTAGTTTACAGAAATATGGGAGAGTACGAAAAAGCAAAAGATTTTTATGAACGAGCGATAGAAATTGAAACGAAAACATTTGGACCTGACCATGTTAATATTGCGACAAGGTACAACAATCTGGGTTTGGTTTACGATAAAATGGGAGAGTACGAAAAAGCAAAAGATTTTTATGAACGAGCGATAGAAATTGAAACGAAAACATTTGGACCTGACCATGTTAATATTGCGACAACGTACAACAATCTGGGTTCGGTTTACTATAATATGGGAGAGTACGAAAAGCAAAAGATTTTTATGAACGAGCGATAGAAATTGAAACGAAAACATTTGGACCTGACCATGTTAATATTGCGACAACGTACAACAATCTGGGTTTGGTTTACATAAAATGGGAGAGTACGAAAAAGCAAAAGATTTTATGAACGAGCGATAGAAATTGAAACGAAAACATTTGGACCTGACCATGTTAATATTGCGACAACGTACAACAATCTGGGTTCGGTTTACAATAAAATGGGAGAGTACGAAAAAGCAAAAGATTTTTATGAACGAGCGATAGAAATTCAAACGAAAACATTTGGACCTGACCATGTTAATATTGCGACAACGTACAACAATCTGGGTTCGGTTTACAAAGATATGGGAGAGTACGAAAAAGCAAAAGATTTTTATGAACGAGCGATAGAAATTGAAACGAAAACATTTGGACCTGACCATGTTAATATTGCGACAAGGTACAACAATCTGGGTTTAGTTTACGATAATATGGGAGAGTACGAAAAGCAAAAGATTTTTATGAACGAGCGATAGAAATTTAAACAAAACATTTGGACCTGACCATGTTAATATTGCGACAACGTACAACAATCTGGGTTCGGTTTACAAAGATATGGGAGAGTACGAAAAGCAAAAGATTTTATGAACGAGCGATAGAAATTGAAACGAAAACATTTGGACCTGACCATGTTAATATTGCGAAAACGTACAACAATCTGGGTTTGGTTTACGATAATATGGGAGAGTACGAAAAAGCAAAAGATTTTTATGAACGAGCGATAGAAATTAAAACGAAAGCATTTGGACCTGACCATGTTAATATTGCGATAACGTACAACAATCTGGGTTTAGTTTACTGTAAAATGGGAGAGTACGAAAAAGCAAAAGATTTTATGAACGAGCGATGAAAATTAAAACGAAAACATTTGAACCTGAACATGTACTGCAATAATATACAACAATCTTCATTTGGTTATAAACAAACTATAGATATTGAAACTGAAGCATTTGGACTTCTATTTATCTTTTATTTGCTAGAAGCTAAAATACTCCTGTCTTTGAGAAAACGTACAAGGAGATAGAAGAAGAGGAAATGAATTTGTAGCTCATTTTCAATGAAGAAAATCAATTTCTCTTTTCATTTTAGGTATGTCTTCTTTATACTAAAGCTGAGTAGAAACAGTTGTATTGTAGATTTCTTTTAACAAAGGTTCAAATAACAACAGTTGTATATTTATAAAAGGTATAAATATATTATTGACAATATTCAAACATTTGTATTTTCAAGTTTTCAACTGTCATTTATTTACTGGAACAGTTTTTATTAAGAAACTTGTATGGAACTATCAAAGTATATTTATGAGTTTAGTTTGCAATATCTAGCTATTCAGAAGTTGTGAAGTTCCTTAAAATGAATGTTGTTGGGTCATTTTCTTGTATAATGAGAGTAAATACTGATCTTACAGCAACCATGATCATGTAACATCCCTTTTTGAAATGCTGAAAAGCCCACAAGATTTGCTTTGCTATATAAGTATGAATACAGTCTTTTCTATATTTATTTCTATTCATTCATATAATTTACAAAATATACTTTCTATTTATGAGAATTGTAGTTGTTTGAAATGGACATGCAGTTATTGTTATTTGATTCAATCATACTTGATTTGGGGACTAACACCTTAATTGTTGTGACAATGTTTGTTTTACTTTGGAGGAAATATTTATTTAATGATTGATTCAATAATACTTTATTATAGTTCAAACTATAAAGGCAATGTAAAGTAAAAGTTATAAATAACCTGAAGAAGAAAAAGCAGGATATCATTGCCATAGCATTGACAGAAGTGAAAATGACACATTTAACTGTCCGACTACCAGATTTACTATATATAAAAATTCCAGCAGTGGCGCAGGATACTTGTTAATTGGGGGCACAAATTCATATATGCATGTCTTAATCTGTTGAAAACAATGGATTTCAAAGGAACTTAATGTGGCAGAACATGAATATATGAATATGTGCCTCCTACCCAAAATAAAGAGTCTGCTATGCCATTTATTCCCAGGGCATCTTGAAGAGCTCTGGCATTGTGTGTAACAGTTAGTATTTCATTTTGCAAGGAACTTCTTATTTTTTCCAAAACATTTGAACATTAGAGAATTGTACAAACTATAAAAAGTTTATATTAGGAATATATTTCTAGGTCAACACCCTCCTTTAAAGTATGTATCCATGTTCAGGAGTGAATGACATGACCAGACATTTTTGGCTAATGTCTTTACAACTGATAAGAACAGTAAATGAGTCATTTCTACTGGTGTCTTTACTACTGATATGGACAGTAATGAGTCATTTTCATTGCTATGATATTCATGTCTTGCTTTTGCTATAGTTTATACTTTACATTGCTTTGAAACTGATTCTCCTAGCTCAAAAATGATTTTACCACAAAATCACATTACAAAATGTTGTCGTTATCTCTGATCCCAAGAAAACCAAATATAAATTAAAAATGAGATTTACTACATTTAAATGTAAGCGAAAAAACAACATTGTCACAACAATTAAGGTGTAAATCCCAAACCGTAAATAGAAAGAAATGTTGAATGAAGTAACCAAACTATTGACCTTCTCTCCACACACAATTCTTTTAAATACAAATTATATTTTACCATTTATCACAGTGAACAGAAATTTGTATATTTACACAGCAAAGCCAGTGTTACGGCTTTTTAAAAAACTTACTAAGCACTATAAATTTTACATGTAAATAATGTACATAATAAGATTTTTCTTATTAAACAACAAAAAGAACCAAACAAACACTCCTTTTAAACCTTTGCCTACAGAAATTGAAAATACAACTGTTGCTGGTCAGCTAAAGGAGAAAAGAAAACATACCAAAGCCAGGGCTAACAAAGTCTTGTTCCTTGAAATGGAGCCACAAATCCATTCCTTTCTGTAAAGACTAAACACAATAAAAATCCTTTGCTGACAAGCGTTTTGATAGATCTGGCATTGGTGACCACCTGACAATGTAATTTATCTTTATGTATGTTTTAGGTAGTGATGTAGCCAAGAAAAATGGGGCTTTTACTCTAATTATGTGTGTCTGGCCCATATTTACTGTTGTCATCTCATATGTAGTGTAGTGAGTAACGAAAAAGTAATTGAACAACAAAATATTTATTTTCATAGCACTGGTAAACTTGCTATACACTACGAGTTGTCATGGTGTTATTAAAGGACTGAATTCTGATATCTTCCTTTGATTATATTTTTTTATTTGCCGTAAATTATACACGTATTTAATTTCTTGATACAGGGTGTTTCAAAAAATGGTAATCCAACTTTTACTTGCTGATGTGTGTAAATTACTTAATAAATAACTGTAGTTTTAAATATTTAAAAAAGAGTTCTACGTTCTAGCTATGGAATGCTATGTTATTGTTGCGATTTGGAAGGAAAATGAGTGAAATGCAAGCGCGTTGAAAAATTTTGGTTAAAGTCGCATTCTTTCACCTTGGAACATTTTTCCATCAACATGAAAGGTGCTTCACTTTGATTTTGCTGGTTTGTTGACTGGCTATCACATATTTCATGATGATGTCTCATTTTTCAACCTTGACAATATTTGAAAATATCTGACATTTACAATTTCCATGATTCAGCAAAATTGATCCTCAAAGGGCTTAATTAAACGTAGTTAAATACATAATAAATTAATAACTACATACGTATAATATAGAAGCTAAAGTGCATTAAAATCCCAGTCAAGAAACTTATTTTAATTACATTTATACCTCTAGCGTGGAGATCAATCATTGCCGCTGAATCATGTAAATTTCAAACTATCGGCTGATTTCAAAGATGACCAGTTCTTTTGAGACATATTGTAAGATATTTTGATTACAAAAATTTTGCAAAGATCATCAAGTGTACGCTCACTACGCAGAAATCGATCGAGGTGTTTAACTACACTGTGAAGCATTTGGAAGAAATAAAAGCATAGAGCACGGTTTTACCCGCTGTTAATTAAGTTGTACTAGATTGTACTAATCAAGTTGGCGTAATTTTATTCATTTGTAAAAAAATGAAATTGTGTAAAGTTACAATAGCTAATTTAAATACCTGAGAAAAACATAACTTTCTCATAAGTTTATTTTGTTGCTGTAAAAATCTTACCATCATAAATCGTTGGTTAAAAGTGACTTGTCTTTCGATCAATTGTCGAGACAAGAATCGTGATCTAAGAAAGAAAAATGCTCAGGAAAACGTTTTAAAACAGCCAAAGGCCAATGAAGTGCATATGACTTGGAGACACTGGAGATTGAAACGTCGCTAAAGAACAAAATCTTTTGATTTCCCATTCATAGCTTGCCATGTAAACGGCCTGGTGGACTCACAATATATATACGTCTTGTAAAATTACTGTCAAAAACGATGAAGGAGGAAAAAGATACTTACCATCTTCATATTTCCTCAGTTATAAAGCAGTTCAGACGATGTAGAATATCAATTCCTAAATAGCTCAGCCTCAAGGGAATGGTGAACAAAAGCCAAATACGTTTTCATCGTGGTCAATAATCAATTTCTTTATTTATATAAGTCCTTCATCATGGTGAATTGAAACCACAAACATTTGTTCTATGTTTCTCGATCGCATTAACAGAAAATGTTCACGTCTAAAATAAAGCAAAGAATTAACATTAACAAAAACGAAAACTTTATAAGAAGACGTATATTTAGGTCACACATTTTGCATAAAGATATTAATGTCGTTTACATTTCACACTTCAATCAAAGAGAGTTCTCTCCTAACACGAATATCAAAAATCACATTTACCTGAGCATGTTATCGAAAAAGTCAAAGATATATTTCGCTTTCGGCAAATATTCTTGGTGTATGTAGGAAGGTAGAGATTTAAATAACACATTGAAAGTTTGAGTTGATCTTACAATATGCCAAGTTGCGGAAAGCGTGTGTTTTCTGATTGGTCAGTTCTTAGGCGTGTACTTAATTCTACATGGTACACAAGTAAAAATGACTTGCTAATTGCATCTCATTTCTTTTTGTTTTTTATGAGCCAACGCTTTCATTTTTAAGGTTTGCTTCTTGCGTAAAGCCTAGTTCACATATGACTGAGACATGACTAAGGCATACCTGTAACGATGCCTGCGTTGTTCTTAAGGCAAATGTAAACACTCATCGCTGACACACTAATGATGTTTCAGGCAGTCGTAGTAGTTACCTGCAGTATACAGCTGAAATGCCGTAAAAGTTGAGTTGTGTTCAGGTTTCCTGGCATGTCGGCGGCTAAACGGCGATGTACGGAACATATTTTGGTTATTTATGTTTAATGTGAACGCTTCTCAGATTGACCGGCGATTTCCCATCATGCATTTGGGTAAAAAGATGAATTTTCAACACTGGACAAGGAACCAAAAAAAGACTCAATGGAAAAATTCCAATCACTTTACGATAAAAATAAAAACTTATGTATACAATACGCAACTATCGGACTATTTATGATAAATCGTGTCCAGAGTACAAAAATTAAAGAGTAAAATACAAATTATTCTATTTTTTCAAACCAAATTACCCCTCCCCCCACCTGCAGAGTCTTGTGTGATTGGATGACACAGTAAATATTGTAGATTGTTCCATACCCTAGCGACCGCTGGACATGTATTTCGCCGTACAGCCTCTATTCTTTTCGCATCAAACACTGGATCTTTCTGTTCTAATGTTTCGTACATATAACCAACGTAACGTTTCTTTGTCTGAAGAACACAAGACATATATACCTAAAAATCATCCCTTGTTATACATAAATGTGTCTTAAAGTCCAAATCTCTCAAATAGATACAATTTTACAGTAGATAAAAACCTTTTCAAACTTTAGTTTCACAGGTTTAGGATTCTCTGCAGTAGCAGCATCAACAATTTTTTCAATCTTAAACCCTTCCTCTTTACTGGCACCTTTTACTAATACGAAAAGACTATCGGTGTCCCCATATACCACACGAGCACCCCACTCATCCCTTGTGTTCACGAGATTGATAGCTCGTTCCAGGGTCTCGCGTGCTTTACGAACAATGGCGTCAGCAATCTGATGAAAAACAGAAAAGAATATTCAGATGGTTTTAAGAGTAAAATGAATCCAGTATGACAATAAGCACTTGATAGATTTTCAATCTGAGCATGTGACATAGTCCAGGCTCACGATAATCATAATAATCAACATGTATCTATATATATATTATATATTTACCAATTATCTGTAGTAAATATACTATTTATTTTTATATCTAAAATATATATATGTATTAGTAAATATATAATATATATAATATAGACACAATCAATTAATACAAAGTTTACGGCACAAGGTCTGTTTAGATGGAATGGGGAGAGTTATCGTTTGTTTAAATTTCTATCATGAATACAAAGTTTACGGCGCAAGGTCTGTTTAGATGGAATGGGGAGAGTTATCGTTTGTTTAAATTTCTATCATGAATACAAAGTTTACGGCACAAGGTCTGTTTAGATGGAATGAGGAGAGTTATCGTTTGTTTAAATTTCTATCATGAATACAAAGTTTACGGCGCAAGGTCTGTTTAGATGGAATGGGAGAGCTATCGTTTGTTTAAATTTCTATCATGAATACAAAGTTTACGGCAAGGTCTGTTTAGATGGAATGGGAGAGCTATCGTTTGTTTAAATTTCTATCATGAATACAAAGTTTACGGCACAAGGTCTGTTTAGATGGAATGGGGAGAGTTATCGTTTGTTTAAATTTCTATCATGAATACAAAGTTTACGGCACACGGTCTGTTTAGATGGAATGGGAGAGTTATCGTTTGTTTAAATTTCTATCATGAATACAAAGTTTACGGCACACGGTCTGTTTAGATGGAATGGGAGAGTTATCGTTTGTTTAAATTTCTATCATGAATACAAAGTTTACGGCGCAAGGTCTGTTTAGATGGAATGGGAGAGTTATCGTTTGTTTAAATTTCTATCATGAATACAAAGTTTACGGCACAAGGTCTGTTTAGATGGAATGGGAGAGCTATCGTTTGTTTAAATTTCTATCATGAATACAAAGTTTACGGCACAAGGTCTGTTTAGATGGAATGGGGAGAGCTATCGTTTGTTTAAATTTCTATCATGAATACAAAGTTTACGGCACAAGGTCTGTTTAGATGGAATGGGGAGAGTTATCGTTTGTTTAAATTTCTATCATGAATACAAAGTTTACGGCACAAGGTCTGTTTAGATGGAATGGGAGAGTTATCGTTTGTTTAAATTTCTATCATGAATACAAAGTTTACGGCGCACGGTCTGTTTAGATGGAATGGGAGAGTTATCGTTTGTTTAAATTTCTATCATGAATACAAAGTTTACGGCACGGTCTGTTTAGATGGAATGGGGAGAGTTATCGTTTGTTTAAATTTCTATCATGAATACAAAGTTTACGGCACAAGGTCTGTTTAGATGGAATGGGAGAGTTATCGTTTGTTTAAATTTCTATCATGAATACAAAGTTTACGGCACAAGGTCTGTTTAGATGGAATGGGGAGAGTTATCGTTTGTTTAAATTTCTATCATGAATACAAAGTTTACGGCGCAAGGTCTGTTTAGATGGAATGGGAGAGTTATCGTTTGTTTAAATTTCTATCATGAATACAAAGTTTACGGCGCAAGGTCTGTTTAGATGGAATGGGAGAGTTATCGTTTGTTTAAATTTCTATCATGACAAGATCAAAGTTACCTCAACACAAGGCATTCGTCCTGAGAAGTTTGATGTGTAACCATAAGTGACATTTGCAATCAACTTTAAAGCAAGTTGTCGAGCATCAAGAAGTTGAAGAAGAGTCTAAAATGTAAATTATTTATGATATTGAATGATTAAAGAAAACAAACGAAGAGTGGAAAGGCATCTTTTTTGAACATGATGAAAACTCCATGACGTTTTAGCTACTGGATCTTATAAAACATCAAAGATCGCTTCAAAACAAAGGTTTAATAAAACCAACTTACTTTATCATCTTCACAATCTTTCATAGCTTTCTTTACCATAATACGTGTGTCTAATATCTCCTCTAACATTCTAAAATAAATCAAACTTATTGAACATATAATAGCCAAAGATATCAAGACCCATTTAGGACAGTAAAGACTTAAGAAGGAACGCTATGTACATTGCAAAATATACAACAAAATGCAAATATTATTTTTTCAACAATCTTTTGAATCAATAAAAATGTGACCTGTAACCAAATGAATGTGAAATATCCCACATTACCTGGGTAAAATTCCTTCTCTTATGTTAGATTTTACAAAAACAGAGCCGTTGGCGCTTACATGAATATCATCTTGCAGTTTCTGAAAGGAAATGCATTGTTTCAAATGTATTGCTTGTCGTGATGGTAATTTATTAAAAATTCTCTCCTCCAGTAACGTTGGAGGAACATTCAACGATGTACAACCAAACTCAAAATGAACAACGACATGTAAGACAGAGAAAATGACTTTTACCTTAATTTTACAATCCATGCTACACGACAGAAGAAGATGAGCAGATTTCGGAAAGAATCTTATTGCAGAAACACCTTTAGTGTGACCAGACCTAAGAGAAAGATAAAATAATACAATAATACATAAGTAAGAATATCTCCATTGCTTTCTTTTATCACGACGGTAGAAGGATGAACTACAGGAAAACAAATACTTAAATGTTATTAAAAAGTGCTGTATAAAGTGAATATTTGCATCAGGAAGTATCGTTACGTTTTGTCGAGGTTAGTAGAGTCCTGTGAAGGACTGTTGGTGTTGATGTTGACTGACGTTTCGACAACCTTAGCAGTAGTCATCTTCAGAGTCAAATGATAAGTAAATGTCAGGTTAGCCGTGTTTCTTAAAACAAGTGCTAAGGAAGTCCAATACAATATCTACAAACATACGTACGTAGTACTAGAACAAATCATTACTTTATAATAAATAATACACTGATAAATATGATTTTATAAACATATCAAATGATCACCTAAACGTCTTGACTCAAACAGAAGCATCGTATTAAAAAAACGCTCATATTTTAAGTTTATATTTGGATGAGACGCTTTCTCTAATGAATACTGTAATGTATAATTGAACTTCCTCAATACCATCAAGAATTATATCATAAACTGTCTTTAAACTTAATTCAATTATTGCGTGTTTTCCTTAAAATCTACAAAATTTAAAGCATATTGATGACTCGAAGTCAGACGTTCCATGGCGTTTCTAATTACATTTTAGTAAGTAAACTTTCATATTTCTTCCGTTTTTGTTTTACAGTAAAGTAACAGAAAACAAACAAAAGCAAGAACAACTAAAATTCAATAGCGTGTTTAACGTCATTTCTGGTATTTTAACTTCCATTTTTTGATTTTGAATAAATGAACTAAATGGAGAATTGTTTACATACCACGTATGAATATGTTGTTTTGGTAGAAAGCAACGTTCTGGAGGAGTATCTGACTTGAGATTAATGCCAAGATCTTGTGGAATGTGAAGATATGATCTTCCTTGATAGTCATATGCATCTTTAACTGAAAAATACATTTGGTAAAGTTTAGGAAACTACAAGAAAGTATGAAAATTTTAACTTACTGTGTAATGTGGATTTCTCTTCTGAAGGTTTCATATCATCTTTCTTTGATTTGTTTTTCTTCGATAATTCATACTCCTATTGTTGACTCTTCCTGTATTCACCAAGGTAAAATGCCAGAAAAATAATTGTTTGATTTGAAAAATGTCTTTATAAAACTCTTTATCTGGGTAATTGAAATACCTCAGATGGTTTAGCAATAGTTTCTTCATCAACAAACTTACTCCATGGTCCTATAGGATAACAGAGAATAAGAGATAGTAGGACAACCTTTCAAACGTTGTCTTTATTCTAGTAATCGTACTCTTGTATCCATCAATCACACCAGGATCTCCCCTATCCTCTCTCTTCCTCTTATCTCCCGCCCGCTGTTTTGTAGCTTCAAACACAGTCAATCCCTCGCTATCCTTTGCTTTCTAAACATCCCCAACAAATCTTAATGGATAACAGTTGATATAAACATAAAACATTACCAAGCCTATGCATTTTCGTACTTTGAGTCAGTATTCTGCCAGCGTGCAGAAATTGAGTTTTCCCTTTCCATGATCTTCAACTGCTCGTCAATTCTAAACAGTAAATACCAAATCATTACAAATATAAGGCACGGTCAGACAAGCACCTGCAAGTTGCATATACATCTCTACTTGTACGTACGTATAAAACAAGAAATAATTTTTATTCGATATTCCAACTTATTATTCACAATGTTACGACGTACATTCATAGCTTCAAAATTTTCCCACTTCATTTTTCTAAATTCACACTGTTTAAGACTTTAATATCTCTAGAAACATGTTGAACTTTTCGAACATACTTTTCATCTGATTAAATGGAACAGTCAGTTCACTTGGATCAGTGCAACCATTCCATCGATGGTAAAGATCAGCGTACAAGTCCAGGTATATAACGTACTTGCATTTCCAATCTTCTTCTTCTGTAAGTTGTTCAAGATTTACGTATATTTGTTAAAAAGTTTTCTGTGGGTAAAACATTTCCACATAATGAGCATCAATAATTATGTGTCAAATCTGTTCCTTAGCTACAAGCCATTGTTTCTCAATTACTAACCAGTCTCAACTTCACGACCAAAAAAAGTCGATTCGTCCTTCATCCACTCACGAATATCATCTATTGAAATGCTGTGAGCTTTAGATAATGAAAAAGAAAATTTACTGCTTTCATGTGAGTCGTAAATAGTTCATATCCAAAATCGGAGTCAAATATAATCACACAGCAAATACAAACATATACTCACACGGAAAGCACCTGCATAACTTTTCAATATCTGATTTTGCAGTTTCTTCCACGTCAACAGCTCGCTTCATCCTTGCCATCAGCAAATTGCCTCAAAAAACAAAATTTAATTCATACCTGCTATTACATAATATGATGACATGTTAGCTATGTATATGTTCAAACAAAGAAAGAAAAACTAGCTATACCTAAATTAATCTTCGTTTTCTTTCCATAATGTAAAAGAGCATCACTGAGTACATCAACTCTGTGACTTGGACGCATTTCTTTAGTCATTCTGCTAAATTTGCGAATGTAAGCTCACAATCTCTCCAACATCTCACCGTCAGTTAGGCCAAATCCTTCTTTACGACGGGGACTAAATTTAACCTTTACAAGAAAGATTTAGTAAACAATTATTGAATTTTTATCATTTTATCATCTACAATACCATTAGTTATGATAGCATAGGTATCACCATCTGTTAATACGTATGAAAAATAAAAACAATAACAACTAACTTGGCATCGTCCAACATGCCCATAGCAGTGAAAATTGGAATTGAAAATTGAAAAATGTCAACAATCGGATCCTCCAAATTCTTTTGTAAAAACAAAATAAAGAAAAACATGTGAAAGACTACCTTTTCAAAGAAAAAAGTGTTGAGGGAAAGTTATTGAAGGAAACAGGTAACAAAGCAACTATTGTCAATTGAATATTACCTGTAAGTGTTTCACCAACATGCATGCAACATCATACAATATGTTTATTTTGAGTGCAGGATTATCAACATTATCTTTCTCTAATTCTTGGAGAACATAAACTGCATAGCTCAATCTATAAAATATGTAGAATATTTTTTTAAATAATGCAACCACATGTATGCAAAAGCTTCAGCACTTGCACAAAGCATTGAAAGTAGCAAACCAACTGAAAAAATAAATTTACACCATCAAATGCATGCATCCTAACCACCTCTTTCAAACCAAGAACATTTAGGTAAAATAGAGAAAAATGTGTAACAGACCTCTCTCCATGTTTCAAATTTAAGAATTTTTAGGAAACTCATGTCGACAGCCGCCCAAAGATTGCTGTTTCATCAAGAGCTCTGTAGCGATTCATTGATCGAACAGCATTCCCAGCAAGAAAACCATGACACTCCTATAAGTATCAATATGTAACAAACAAAAGTATACAAGAGCTTTATTTCCTAAAGCCCATGGCACAAATTTATTGAAAATAAAAACTATGTGGTAGAGAATGTAAAAAATCAAATATATTCAAAGCACTGTAACTTCCATGCCTGAATTTTCATTAGAATAACAAAGTATATTAAAGCTACATTGACCTTGTTTGATGTAGGTGTGGTATAATTGGCAACAAATTGATCAACATGTGTCTGATCATAGAACATCAGCTGTCCAAATAGAGGTTTTCCAAGACTCTGCCCAGCTTTTTCCTTCGTCCAATAAATAGAGCATCAAGAGACTCAAAGATCACACCATCAGTCTTCAATAAAATGGTGAAGGATAAAATCATGCAATGTATTTGAGTTCAATGATGCAAATGATGCAGTCAAAAGGTGTTTGAGATAGCATTGCTAATGTTCTTTTTACTAAATTGTCATTGTTAAACAAGTAATATGAATATACTCACTTTGGGACAAGTAGGACAGATATTTCCTTCATCAAGCTCAGGAATAACACAGCTCAACATGTTTAGTTTATGTCTGTAAATTCTGAAAAACAATGACACAAAGAAAGCAATTATGCACTCTTAAACAAATGACATAAACAAAATACAGTGCAAGACAGTAATACTTGAGGAAAAATCCTTTCCCATCATAAACTTTAGCATTTTGATTTCCTCCAATTAAATACATCTCTTAAGATGAGATTCTTAGGCTATAAAATTGACTGCAACTTTCCCAGCAATTCATAAGTACAGCAGTGCAATAAATCAGTGACCTACATGCAGTTACCTATATTCTTCAAAAGCATCTATAATGACAGGATACATTTTGGTGTTGCATAAGAAGAGAATATGTGGTTATGATTAAACTCTTCAAATGACTGACAAATGCTTTTATTGATGCCTGGCATTCCATCTGCACAGAATGAATCAATTCAAAAACTCAATTGCAAATGCAATTCTTGGTTTTGTAGGTGTTCCACCCCAAAGGCCAAATTGCAGAAGTTGAACAAACTCTGGAGAGCATGAGCAAAACTGTACCTCAACAGTACAAAAGGTGCCTAAAATTGAAAAAGATCCAAAATTATAATTGTGTTGAACCATCCCAGCTAAAATGAAAAACTTTTGCAGCACATTTTACATATAACATACCTTTAACATCAACAACAGAAACACTTCTTTTGTGACGAGCTGTTTGGCATGAACAATCATACACCAGCATGTTCATGAGTTTATATGGCCAAAACATGCCATCCTACAAAGCAATGAATAACCTCGTAGAAATTAGTTGTAATCAATCCCTTTCTTGCATTCATAAAAATATTAGATTAGTGCTTCGTAGCATGTTTCACAATGTAAACTCTCATTTTATTTTTGCATTTTTTGTTGCAAGTGTTGAGAGAGTTAACTGTAAACACTTTTATAATATCTAGCTCATAAAGGTTACCTTAAATATTTCAACATGATGACAAATATTTACGGTTGTGTGCATCTTTAACATACAGTTCTCACAATACTTTGCCATTGGACCACAATCGCTGCACCTAAACTTTGCTTCATTATCACAATGAATACACTTCAGATTGCTCCAATTTTGCCAGCAAACTGAAATGTATTCTTTATAATTGAATGTCGCAAATTTTCCCATGCTTTTTTTTTCTTTCAACTTTCTGGTAATAAGAAGATGATTCTTCACAATCATGGTGAACATCACTTTCAAGATCACTGTTATCTTGTTCCATTCCCAGTTCATGGCCTTCCAATGCACCACAATTATCAGGACTGTTAAAAGAACAGCTTCCTCTATGATCCTCAGTAACCAATTCTGACAAATCCTCTCTCTCAACATGGCCATCCTCATCATGATATGTGACAGCTACAGTTGCTTTAAACCTTTTATTGCTCCTACAAAAATTATCATAAAAATCTATAAAATGAAAATAAATGTTGAAAAGTCTAACAGCTATAAGGCCGTTATTTGGTGTACCTTGGCATCTTTTAAAATTACCAGCAAGAAAATCACAAATCAGAAAATATTATCGATATTACCAATGACACAATAACATAAGTTAAACGACCAAAGTACAACGTATGTATCTTCCACGACTACCAGCCGACGTTTTGTACCCGTACTTTACCGGCTTTTAGCCACGTCTCATAAGACGAATGGGTGATTTGTTTGGTTGGTAAAACGAAAGGGTTTTCTTCCGGTATATTGTAGGAGCCTTTTCCTAGGGTAGGGTAACATATCTCACGTGACCGGAAACGTAAATCATTTAAATTATTCCACAGAATCGACTAGAGCGCCGCACCTGAGATATCATGTAGTTGGTTGTGTCTTGTAATCTTTCTGAATTTGTGAAGGTATGTTGATTTTAAACTTTACCTTTCGTTGTTATATTGTATTTTGATTTTGTGATTTAATGTTTCATGTCCATTTATCGATTATTTTGTTTTTCTGTAAAATATTCTACTTCCGCGCTATGTACGTATGTAAATGTTTTATAAAGATAAATTTGTTGATTTTGGTGAGATTTGGAACTAGCTCGAATCAAGTTTTGAAAATGAACTTGTTAACTTTCATATATCTTTATATAATAATAAAAAGAAATAAATTTCTACTATATAATAGTAATGTTCTACATCGATACACATCATGTGCATGGTCACGAGGTAGTAGAGGAAATAAGATATTCTTGGATGATTTCGTAAAAGCACTATTGCTAATGCGCATTTAATATACACGACAAGTTTTTTAAAACAGACATGTTTCGACATCTCATGATGCCATCTTCAGTATGAGTGAAATAATAAGTGATCCAAGGTTTATATAAAAGTAATATGAGACATAAATTACAACAAAGAAGGAAATAAGATAAATTAATGTGGAGCGTCCGAGCGTATTATAAACTGTATATTGTATTAAATTTAAAAACTTGAACATTAAGGTCAGGTTAGTTTTGTTAATGTGGAGTGCTTCTTTGATTTTAAGGGTGAATTAGGTGTCGGCAGTGTCGATGATTTTGAAGCAAGAGGGTGAATAGTTGGTTTTACATGAGTGAGATTTAAGAAGGTGTCGGTAGATATGAGAGTTTTTGTCTCTTGTGGTATGTTCCCTGATTCTGGTGGATAAATGGCGCGAAGTTTCGCCAATGTATCGGGAATTACATCCAGCGCAATTGAATTCATATACCACCATAGATTTAATTGAATCAGGGATTGGGGCTTTGAATGAGGAAAGGTTTTTGATTTTGAATGATGTGAAAATTAGTCGAATGTCAATATCTGTACAGAAGCGTTTCATAATGTTTGTAAGTCTGCGTTGTGTGTGTCGTGAGTAATGTCCGATGTATGGTAGTTTGAAGTGTAGAGTTGTTATTTTGGAATTTTCATTTGTGTTGGTCGTGATCGTCGTGTCAGGAGTTTCGGTGTCTAGTTTGAGGTTGGTCATTAAAAACCTTTTCTCATTCAAAGACCCAATCCCTGATTCAATTAAATCTATGGTGGTATATGAATTCAATTGCGCGGGATGTAATTCCCGATACATTGGCGAAACTTCGCGCCATTTATCCACCAGAATCAGGGAACATACCACAACAGACAAAAACTCTCATGTCTACCGAAACCTTCTTAAATCTCACTCATCTAAAACCAACTATTCACCCTCTTGCTTCAAAATCATCGACACTGCCGACACCTCATTCACCTTTAAAATCAAAGAAGCACTCCACATTAACAAAACTAACCCTGACCTTAATGTTCAAGTTTTTAAATTCAATACAATATTTAGTTTATAATACGCTCGAACGCTCCCCATTAATTTATCTTATTTCCTTTTATTGTTGTAATTTATGTATCATATTACTTTTATATAAACCTTGTATCATCTATTATTTCACTCATAATGAAGATGGCATCATGAGATGTCGAAACGTGTCTATATTAAAAAAACTTCTCGTGTATATTAAATGCGCTTATTCATGGAAACGTAAATCATTTAAATTATTCAACAGAATCGACAAGAACGCCGCACCTGAGATGTCATGTAGTTGGTTGTGTCTTGAAATCTTTCTGAATTTTCAAAGGTATGTTGATTTTAAACTTTACTCGCTTTTATTTAAAAGTGTATTTTAACCTTATGATTTAATGTTTTGTGTACAAGTATCAATTGTTTTGTTTTGATGTCACGAATATTGTAGTTAAATATAACTTATAAGTTAGTGCAAACATCGACAAAAGTTCAAACAATTGTCGAAAATTTGAGTCTTTCAATATTTTGTTACCACAGACCTTTCCATAAAACGCAGGGTAATTAGTCTCGGACAGTGCAATGACATATTTGTAGGCTGCGTAGAAATTAAAGCGTCCTGCAATTACTGCCATTTAGACAAACTTTATATCGACTTAACTCTTGGCTATAACTCTTGACAAAATTCAAGCGTCATAAGGCAGAATTATAAAAAGTCTTAAATAAAAATAAATTTTGAAACTATACATACCGTATTTAATAAGAAAATACTGAAAATTCCCTGCATCTCCATCGTTGTTGTATAAAGATTTCGAAACTATTTAGTAACTGCTTCTGCTTCTGGTTAAAATTGTTTATAGTATTTGTACAGTAAAATTTGTTGAAGATTTGGTTGGTTGGTATAAAAGGAAAGGGGTTTTTCTTCCGGTATATTGTAGGAGCCTTTTTCCTAGGGGTAGGGGTAACATATATCACGTGACCGGAAACGTAAATCTTTTAAATTATTCCACAGAATCGACTAGAACGCCGCATCTGAGATATCATGTAGTTGGTTGCGTCGTTTTTATCTTTCTGAATTTGTGAAGGTATGTTGATTTTAATGTTTACTCCCTTTATGTAATTGTGTATTTAAACCTTCTGATTTAATGTTTTGTGTCCATGTATCAATTGTTTTGTTTTAATGTCACGAATATTGTAGTTAAATAAAACTTATAAATTACTGCCACGTATGTTTTATATGGATAAAATTTCTTCATTTTAGGGGATTTTAAACACAGATAAATTTTGGACACATTACTTTTGGAAAATACGGCTTTTCTCACATCAATACCAAATTACTCCAATCGTTTATTTCAAATTATATTAATACAGCAAAGTTACAAAATTAACGTGTTGAGTCAAAATGAAGACACGTCAGAGAATTTCAGTTATGCATGTTTATTATGTACTGTAGTTTTTTTTTATGGTCTTTTCAAGAAGTAAAAAACCGTTTTTATTCTTTTATTACTTTTTATCTAAGTCTCAAGTTCAACGTATTTCGCACCATCAACAAAAAACATAACAGATTTTAAACATCTTTGGTTAATTTGGATATGTAAATCAATGTAAAACCCCACCATGATTGATTAGTGTTCAATTTAACCAAAACATTTACAACATTAGTGTTTAGTGCAACAATATCAATATAGTTTTTCTTTAGATAACTATGGATTGATTGATTCCTTAAAATTTCTATTATAATTTAGGCGCACTTAAAGTAACCAAAGAAATCTTAGTTGAAAGGCATTTCAATAATGCTTAATATGATGCAACTTGACGTTCGTGTGTAAATTAAAGAAAAATGTTTATGTCTAAAATAAAGCAAAGAATTAACATTAGCAAAACGGAAACTTTATAACAAGATGTATATTTAGGTCACATATTTTACTTAAAGATAAAAATATTGTTTGCGTTTCACATTTCAATCAAAGAGAGAGTTCTGTCCTAACACGAATATCAAAAATCACAAACTCCTGAACTTGTTATTAAAAAAAGTTAAATATATATTTCACTTTTGGCAAATATTCTTTGCGTTTGTAAGATTATAGAGATTTAAATGAATCATTGAAAGTTTGAGTTAATCTTAAAATATGTTATAAGTCAAAGAAACGTGTTGTGTTGTGATTGGTCGTTTCTTAGGCGTGTACTTAGTTTTACATGGTATCTAAAATTTTAGTGCACATATAAAATTTTCATTTTTAATCGTCTCGCTGTTATGAACAGAATTCAATATTTTACAATAAAAACAGCAGGTGATTGAAATTTAACATTTAGTGAGCATTCAAATTTCTTTATTATCAAGAAAAAGCAAAGACATCACGTAGCTGGTTGTGTCGTCTTTAATCTTCCTAAATTTGCTAAGGTAAGTTGATTTTAAAGTTTACCTAACATAGTGTCATTGTTTGTTTTTATGTCTAGAATTTTGTTATATTTGTCATTAAAAACCTGAATGTCATTTTCGTGGTGGAATTCGCGCTTCATATGTTTTATATTGATACCTCTGTTGATTTTAGTGGGATTTTTGCAATAACACATTGGATAATTTATCATTTCAAAATACTGACCTGTCTTGCATTATCACCAACAATTTATTTCACTAGTCTTTTCAAATATCATTTGTACGGCAGGGCTAGAAAATCAACAAGATGAATCAAAATTATGACACGTAACAGAATTTCAGTTATGCATATCATTATGTGCAATAATTTTAATTTTATCTAACATGAGTTTTCTCATAAAGGAATTTTTTCCTCATTCATATAGTCATCTATCTATTTATCGTATTCCTAACACAGATGATGACATAAAAACGTTTTGTTAGTATGTCTTTAGAAATTGCGCCTACTTGGAGTGAAAAGCTCAGTTCTTAACGTGATAGTACACGTGATTTTTTTCTGGTCTATAATTGTTCAATATGTTTTAAGATAGACTATTTAAAATATTTGTTTGCGTCAAAAGTTCAAAAATCAACAAAACTTTGCATGATGAACTGTGAAGTCCAAACGCTATCAGTTTTGAAGTATTTCTGATTACTGAGATGTGACAAAATTATTTAAAATTAGAGACTTCGAGATTGATTACTCTGATATTCCCTTTTTAAAAAAGACTGCCCTAAAATCTTGAGCCCCCAACTTTTACTTGCTTCTCACGCCACTGAAACAAATGTGAAAGGTTTATTACCATAAAGCTTCCAAGTCAAAACTTCTTTGTGTTTACTTCAGTCATAGCTAAAATATAAGATTTACATTTCATATTCTATTGGGTATGAACAGAGTTCAATATTTACAATAAAAACAGCAGGTGATTAAAATCAAGCATTTATCTAACATTCCAATTTCTTTATTATCAAGCAAAAGCAAAGACGTCATGTAGTTTGTTATGTCGTTTTTAATCTTTCTGAATTTGTGAGGTATGTTGATTTTAAACTTTGCTCCCCTTTATGTAATAGTTAAATGAAGATATGATCTTCGCACCTTGTTGGACAATTTAAGCAATCGTCTCATAAACCTGAAAAAATCAGGTGACTCAACGGGATGCGAACCCATGACCTCTGCGGTGCCGGTGCAGTGCTCTGACCAACTGAGCTTTGAAGTCACACAGTGGAGAGCAGGTCAATTTTGTTGGGTTCATGTTTTCTCGTGAAAGGAATGTCATACGAAAGAATGTTTTATGCAGTGCGGTGTTTGAAATTAAATGTAGATATGATCTTCGCACTTTGTTGGACAATTTAAGCAGTTGTCTCATGAAGCTGAAAAATTCAGGTGACTCAACGGGATTCGAACCCATGACCTCTGCGGTGTCGGTGCAGTGCTTTGACCAACTGAGCTTTGAAGTCACACAGTGGAGAGCAGGTCAATTTTGTTGGGTTCATGTTTTCTCGTGAAAAGAATGTCATTCGAAAGAATGTTTTATGCAGTGCGGTGTTTGAAATTAAATGTAGATATAATCTTCGCACATTCCTTTCACTAGAAAACATTAACCTAACAAAATTGACCTGCTCACCACTGTGTGACTTCATAGCTCAGTTGGTCAGAGCACTGCAGAGGTCATGGGCTCGAATCCCGTTGAGTCACCTGAATTTTTCAGCTTCATGAGACAATTGCTTAATTGTCGAACAAAGTGCGAAGATCATATCTACATTTAATTTCAAACATCGATATATGTAATAGTGTATTTTAACCATATGATTTAATGTTTCGTGTCCATTTATCAATTATTTTGTTTTAATGTCATGAATATTGTAGTTAAATATAACTTATAAATTTTTTTTGTGCTACATATGTTTTATATGGATAACATTTCTTAAGTTTAGTGGTTTTGTCAAACACAGATAAATTTTACACTGTGAAAATACCGACCTTTACCACATCAATACCAATTTACTGCAACCGTTAATTTCAAATTACATCAATATAGCAAAGCTAAAAAATTAACATGAGTCAGAATAATGACACGTCAGAGAATTCTAGTGGTTTTATACATGTTTTTATGTACTGTTGTATTATTTTTTACGTCATGGCTTTTGTGAAGAAGTAAAACAAATTCTTTTTTCTTCACTTATTACTTTTTATCAAAATCTTAAATTGACCATATTCTGCATTGTTAACAGTAATTAAACAAGATATATTTACAACATTAGTGTTTAGCGCAAATTTTATTGATGTATTCTTGATTTATATAACTATGGAATGATCAATTGTTAAAGATTTTCATTATAATTTTATGTGCAGCCTGCATAGAAATTTCAATTCAACCGAAGATGACTTTCATTCAAAAACTATAGTCATTTTCTTTGCTGTATTTTTCGGAAACAAATTATACAGTTATTCAAATTGAATAATAACCATCGTTCTTATAAAAGATAAACTTATGAGAATTCCTTCTGGATGTTTTGAAAAGGTAAAACCCTATTTTTGGGCTTACACAAGCAAGGACATACAAGTTTTTGCATAATTCTTGGGCGTCAGCAAGCATTTTCGAAAGCGTAGTAAGTACTGCTAGTTGATGGGGTGGCATCTTCCCTTTCTAATATTTCGTTATCCTGTGTCAATTTTCCACCAATTTCTTGAGAATGAAAAATGATGCTATTTTGGTTTGACCACTCGTATCATCAATTGTCTTGTTCTTTTTATTTGCATCTTTCTTTGCTCGTAAAGCACGTGGTATTGCTCCAAATTTCTACTTATTGAACGAACTGATTTTATAGTTTTACAGAGCAATGTTTATATAGTATTCATTACAAATAACAAATATTATCATTGGTCAAATAGTTGTTTTATCTAATATCTAATCTATATATGGTACATAAGGACGTCATATATGACGTCAATAAGTGTTTTTTGGGTGTTAACCGTATGGTAACGGATACACTGGTAAACCCAACTATGTACATTCTATTTCCCTAAACGTATTTTTGTACTTTATGAGCATGACTCAACACAAGCGATGAAAAATTCTGCCAGCAAAATTCGACTGTGTAGTTGCCGTTCCTACAAACGCGAAGTTTTATGTTCCTCATAACAAAAACGTTACTAATTTAACATGTAAATTTTTCAAAGTAAACAGTACTTACACATTACATTCTCTGCCTTCAAAATTAATGTTCATTTCTTCCTTAGAAATTAATCAAAATGTTTTAAAACAAATGCGCTTAATTACAGTTGAGTTAAAGATACACCAGCTAACAAGACTTCGAATCAGAAAAAAGTCAAAAAATCTGTAAGTGGGGAACTTGCATATCGGGAAATAAGATATACGTCTGCTATTTGTTCAAAATGTGAAAAGGGGCAACCATCTGCCCACTTGGCTCTGGCGCCCCTGGCAAAGTTCGTTTCCAAAAACTTTCTTTGCAAACGTACGCCAGGAAATGACGTTCACCAAAAAGCATTAAACATTTAGACAAATCTCAAGGTAAAATGTCTTTCTATTTTTCCTCTGGGCCTTCTTTACTAATTTTTTCTTCTTTTGACGTCTTACGATGTCGAAGTGTATGTCTATTGAAAATAAAGCTAAAATAACAATTTTTATGAAAAGGATTTTTCAAATTTCCCGTATGACATCGTTTTTTGAAATCAACGCCCCAATATTGACAAAAAGTCTACTCAAGTAAACTCTCGCGTTGGGGGACGATAATATTTCTCCGCCTGGTCTATTTTTCCATACGCAGTCGCTACATAAGTTTTAAACTTATATAAACTAAAACTATAAACTAAACTTGCTTCACTTTTCTTGACGACTCGGTAGAATGACCATGGAGGCATACAAGTTATAACTTTTTATGAAGGATTTTAAAAACTTGTCTAACTTCCACAGAAATGTCTAAATGCAGGACAACTTTAAACACAAATATTCACAGGGTTGTGTTTAGCTACCACCTTCTTTAACCATTTTCATATACAACTGAAAATTTACGAAATGATAATATTTAACAAATTTCAGTTCTCCATAAATTATGGTTAATAAGCTATATCCATGTTCATCTTAATCCTTTTATAATCCTTAGATGGAGTCAAGAGAAGAAAGGAATAACTGTTACATTCAGAAAATACTTTCAAATGTTGTTACGAAGAAACTTGTTGACTTATTTATCCAAGAGTGGAACATTACTTACGGAGTATGGGAAAATACAAACGTTAGTGGTCAGAAGTTGTTCAATATTGAAAAAACAAAAACGAAACGTCATGACAAACATATAGAAGCAAAATTTCAAGATGGTGACACCAGTAAGTGGGATTGTACGACACTGTTTGCGGCGATATTGTTTTCCAAATCAATTGGAACAAAACTTGGAACAACAACTAGATCTGCAGTTGATGCACTTCGTATTGTAAGAAACAAATTTACCCATAATAATCCAGGAAGAGTATCTGATAATGAATTTGACAAAATGCTTTGTGATATTGAAAAGTCATTTAAAGATCTAGGATTTTCATTCACTGAAATTAATGAAATTAAATGTCAACGAAACAGATTTGAAACTTTTCAAGTACTTCCTTGCAAAGCAAATCACAATGTGGTTAAACGTACAGAGTTACTTAATCAAATCACAGCAGATCTCAATAACTTGCGCAGTACTAACCATAATGAACTAACATATTATTATATTTCTGGTAATCCTGGCAGTGGTAAATCTCAATTAGCTAGACAAATTTGCGAAGAAATGTATAACTCATTTGACTGGGAAAATAAAACAACATTTGTGATGACACTCGAAGGAAAAGATATCGACTCTGTTTTGAACACTTATGCTGAACTTTATCAACGATTAAGCAATGATAAAACTGTCATTGAAAATATTCTGAAAGAAGCAAAAAGCAGGGAAGACAAAATCAAAGATTTTCAATTATTGCTGACACAGCAACTGAAATCTTGGCAAACATGGTGGATTGTTGTAGATAACGTGGTTGAACTTCATAAAATTTATCCATTATTACCTCAAGTTGGTGATCATAGCTGGAAAAATGGTCAAATTATAGTAACTGTCCAAAATACAGATGCTATACCACCAGATGGAAATCTAAATAAACACATTTCAGTTAGTCATGGTATGAACAATGAAGAATGTCAAGAACTTCTATCTGTCTTTTCTGATATTCATAATAAAGATGAAAAATTTTTAAAGGATTTATCAGACAAATTAGATCGTCAACCGTTGTTCCTGGCAAATGCTGCTTCCTACGTAGGTAGTGTAAAAAGTGTAAATCCGACATTCACGTGGGAGCAATATTTTGATAAGTTGAATGAAGGAGAGCGACAGAACATGGATGCCAATTTTCAAAAAATAAACTCAGCTTACTTAGGAATGAAAACTGTTATGTTAGCAGTACAAAAAAATGCTGAAGAATCCATCTTGTTGGAACATGTTTTTAAACTTTTCTCATTAATATCTTTCGATCCCTTACCACAAGATGTTATAATACATTTTATTAAAAGCATTGATCCACAAATATCTGCAGAAGATGTCTGTCTTCAATTAAAGCATTGTTCTTTATTCCTTCAAACGGAAAACAACGACATCCGCCTGCACAGCGTTGTACACGAAGCCATCATAAATTATTCATCGCAGACCTTTGGCTGTAAACAAAACGAAAATAATTCTAAAAAGTTTGCAGCTGATCTTGCCTGTCAAGTTGCTTGGGCACTAAATAATTTAAAAGACAGAGAAGATGAAATCAAAATAATTCCACATCTAATAAAATTCATAACAAATTCATCATTTCAACATTTCCTAAATAAGTTGATCGATGTAAAATCATCAAAACAAACACTTGATGAAAGAAATTGGAAATTTGCCAAATATTTTGTAGATGTTTTGAAAAGATTTTGCAACTATAAACTTGCAACTAAAGTACTTTATGAAATAACAGAAATTCAAACTAAAGTGTTAGGTGTTGATCATATTCATGTTTCATATTCGTACAACGACCTGGGTGAGTTGCTTTGGAAGAATGGAGAATATGAAAATGCAAAAGATGTTCTCGAGCGAGCAATGGAAATTCAAACAAAAAAATTTGGACCTGACCATGTCAATATTGCGACAACGTACAGCAATCTGGGTAGGGTTTACAAAGATATGGGAGAGTACGGAAAAGCAAAAGATTTTCATGAACGAGCGATAGAAATTGAAACGAAAACATTTGGACCTGACCATGTTAATATTGCGTCAAAGTACAACAATATGGGTTTGGTTTACCATGATATGGGAGAGTACGAAAAAGCAAAAGATTTTTATGAACGAGCGATAGAAATTGAAACGAAAACATTTGGACCTGACCATGTTAATATTGCGTCAAATTACAACAATCTGGGTTTGGTTTACCATGATATGGGAGAGTACGAAAAAGCAAAAGATTTTTATGAACGAGCGGTAGAAATTAAAACGAAAGCATTTGGACCTGACCATGTTAATATTGCGACAACGTGCAACAATTTGGGTTCGGTTTACTTTAATATGGGAGAGTACGAAAAAGCAATAGATTTTTATGAACGAGCGATAGAAATTGAAACGAAAGCATTTGGACTTGACTATGTTAATATTGCGATAACGTACAACAATCTGGGTTCTGTTTACAGTAAAATGGGAGAGTACGAAAAGCAAAAGATTTTTATGAACGAGCGATTGAATTTGACACGAAAACATTTGGGCCTGACCATGTTAATATTGCGACAACGTACAACAATCTGGGTTTGGTTTACTTTAATATGGGAGAGTACGAAAAAGCAAAAGATTTTTATGAACGAGCATTAGAAATTGAAACCAAAGCATTTGGACCTGACCATGTTAATATTGCGACAATGTACAACAATCTGGGTTTGGTTTACGATAATATAGGAGAGTACGAAAAAGCAAAAGATTTTTATGAACGAGCGATAGAAATTGAAACGAAAACATTTGGACCTGACCATGTTAATATTGCGACAACGTACAACAATCTGGTTTCGGTTTACAAGAAAATGGGAGAGTACGAAAAGGCAAAATATTTTTATGAACGAGCGATAAAAATTGAAACGAAAACATTTGGACCTGACCATGTTAATATCGCGAGATCGTACAACAATCTGGGTTCGGTTTACGATGATATGGGAGAGTACAAAGAAGCAAAATATTTTTATGAACGAGCGATAGAAATTGAAACGAAAACATTTGGGCCTGACCATGTTAATATTGCGACAATGTACAGCAATCTGGGTTTGGTTTACAGTAAAATGGGAGAGTACGAAAAAGCAAAAGATTTTTATGAACGAGCGATAGAAATTCAAACAAAAACATTTGGACCTGACCATGTTAATATCGCGAGAACGTACAACAATCTTGGTTCGGTTTACGATGATATGGGAGAGTACAAAAAAGCAAAAGATTTTTTTGAACGAGCGATAGAAATTGAAACGAAAACATTTGGGCCTGACCATGTTAATATTGCATCAACGTACAACAATCTGGGTTCGGTTTACAGTGAAATGGGAGAGTACGAAAAAGCAAAAGATTTTTATGAACGAGCGATAGAAATTGAAACGAAAACATTTGGACCTGACCATGTTAATATTGCATCAACGTACAACAATCTGGGTTCGGTTTACAGTAAAATGGGAGAGTACGAAAAAGCAAAAGATTTTTATGAACGAGCGATAGAAATTGAAACGAAAACATTTGGACCTGACCATGTTAATATTGCATCAACGTACAACAATCTGGGTTTGGTTTACAGTAAAATGGGAGAGTACGAAAAAGCAAAAGATTTTTATGAACGAGCGATAGAAATTGAAACGAAAACATTTGGACCTGACCATGTTAATATTGCATCAACGTACAACAATCTGGGTTCGGTTTACAGTAAAATGGGAGAGTACGAAAAAGCAAAAGATTTTATGAACGAGCGATAGAAATTGAAACGAAAACATTTGGACCTGACCATGTTAATATTGCATCAACGTACAACAATCTGGGTTTGGTTTACAGTAAAATGGGAGAGTACGAAAAAGCAAAAGATTTTTATGAACGAGCGATAGAAATTGAAACGAAAACATTTGGGCCTGACCATGTTAATATTGCATCAACGTACAACAATCTGGGTTTGGTTTACAGTAAAATGGGAGAGTACGAAAAAGCAAAAGATTTTTATGAACGAGCGATAGAAATTGAAACGAAAACATTTGGACCTGACCATGTTAATATTGCACAACGTACAACAATCTGGGTTTGGTTTACAGTAAAATGGGAGAGTACGAAAAAGCAAAAGATTTTATGAACGAGCGATAGAAATTGAAACGAAAACATTTGGACCTGACCATGTTAATATTGCATCAACGTACAACAATCTGGGTTCGGTTTACAGTAAAATGGGAGAGTACGAAAAGCAAAAGATTTTATGAACGAGCGATATAAATTGAAACGAAAACATTTGGACCTGACCATGTTAATATTGCATCAACGTACAACAATCTGGGTTTGGTTTACAGTAAAATGGGAGAGTACGAAAAAGCAAAAGATTTTTATGAACGAGCGATAGAAATTTAAACGAAAACATTTGGACCTGACCATGTTAATATTGCACAACGTACAACAATCTGGGTTTGGTTTACGATGATATGGGAGAGTACAAAAAGGCAAAATATTTTTATGAACGAGCGATAGAAATTGAAACGAAAACATTTGGGCCTGACCATGTTAATATTGCATCAACGTACAACAATCTGGTTTCGGTTTACAAGAAAATGGGAGAGTACGAAAAGGCAAAATATTTTTATGAACGAGCGATAAAATTGAAACGAAAACATTTGGACCTGACCATGTTAATATTGCACAACGTACAACAATCTGGTTTCGGTTTACAAGAAAATGGGAGAGTACGAAAAGGCAAAATATTTTTATGAACGAGCGATAAAAATTGAAACGAAAACATTTGGACCTGACCATGTTAATATTGCGACAACGTACAACAATCTTGGTTCGGTTTACGATGATATGGGAGAGTACAAAAAAGCAAAAGATTTTTATGAACGAGCGATAGAAATTGAAACGAAAACATTTGGGCCTGACCATGTTAATATTGCATCAACGTACAATAATCTGGGTTTGGTTTACAGTAAAATGGGAGAGTGCGAAAAAGCAAAAGATTTTTATGAACGAGCGATAGAAATTTAAACGAAAACATTTGGGCCTGACCATGTTAATATTGCATCAACGTACAACAATCTGGGTTCGGTTTACGATGATATGGGAGAGTACAAAGAAGCAAAATATTTTTATGAACGAGCGATAGAAATTGAAACGAAAACATTTGGGCCTGACCATGTTAATATTGCATCAACGTACAACAATCTGGTTTCGGTTTACAAGAAAATGGGAGAGTACGAAAAGGCAAAATATTTTTATGAACGAGCGATAAAAATTGAAACGAAAACATTTGGGCCTGACCATGTTAATATTGCATCAACGTACAACAATCTGGTTTCGGTTTACAAGAAAATGGGAGAGTACGAAAAGGCAAAATATTTTTATGAACGAGCGATAAAAATTGAAACGAAAACATTTGGACCTGACCATGTTAATATTGCGACAACGTACAACAATCTGGGTGCGATAGAATTTGAAAGAAAAGCATTTGGACCTGAACATGTACTGCAATAATATACAACAATCTTTATTTGGTTAGAAACAAACTATAGACATTGAAACTGAAGCATTTGCACTTCTATTTATCTTTCATTTGCTAGAAGATAAAATACTCCTGTCTTTGAGAAAACGTACAAGGAGATAGAAGAAGAGGAAATGAATTTGTAGCTCATTTTCAATGAAGAAGAAAATCAATTTCTCTTTTCATTTTAGGTATGACTTCTTTATACTAAAGATGATTAGAAACAGTTGTATTGTAGATTTCTTTTAACAAAGGTTCAAATAACAACAGTTGTATATTTATAAAAGGTATAAATATATTATTGACAATATTCAAACATTTGCATTTTCAAGTTTTCAACTGTCATTTATTTACTGGAACAGTTTTTATTAAGAAACTTGTATGGAACTGTCAAAGTATATTTATGAGTTTAGTTTGCAATATCTAGCTATTCAGAAGTTGTAAAGTTCCTTAAAATGAATGTTGTTGGGTCATTTTCTTGTATAATGAGAGTAAATACTGATCTTACAGCAACCATGATCATGTAACATCCCTTTTGAAATGCTGAAAAGCCCACAAGATTTGCTTTGCTTTATAAGTATGAATACAGTCTTTTCTAAATTTATTTCTATTCATTCATATAATTTACAAAATATACTTTCTATTTATGAGAATTGTAGTTGTTTGAAATGGACATGCAGTTATTGTTATTTGACTCAATCATACTTGATTTGGGGACTAACACTATAATTGTTGTGACAATGTTTTTTTTTTTTTACTTTGGAGGAAACATTTATTTAATGATTGATTTAATAATACTTTATTATAGTTCAAACTATAAAGGCAATGTAAAGTAAAAGTTATAAATAATCTGAAGAAAAAAAGCAGGATATCATTGCCATAGCATTGACAGAAGTAAAAATGACACATTTAACTGTCCGACTACCAGATTTTATACTACCAGATTTACTAATATATAAAAAATCCCAGCAGTGGTGCAGGATACTTGTTAATTGTGCGGAGAGGGGCACAAATTCATATATGCATGTGTGAATCTGTTGAAAACAATGGATTTCAAAGGAACTTAATGTGATAGAACATGAATATATGAATATGTGCCTTTTACCCAAAATAAAGAGTCTGCTATGCCATTTATTCCCAGGGCATCTTGAAGAGCTCTTGCATTGTGGGTAACAGTTAGTATTTCATTTTGCAAGGAACTTCTTTTTATTTTTTTTCTAAAACATTATTTGAACATTAGAGAAATTGTGAACAAACTATAAAAAGTTTAAATTTGGAATATATTTCTAGGGCAACACCCTCCATTAAAGTATGTATCCATGTTCAGGAGTGAATGACATGACCAGACATTTTTGGCTAATGTCTTTACAACTGATACGAACAGTAAATGAGTCATTTCTACTGGTGTCTTTACTACTGATATGGACAGTAATGAGTCATTTTCATTGCTATGACATTCATGTCTTGCTTTTGCTTTAGTTTATACTTTACATTGCTTTGAAACGGATTCTTCCAGCTACATAAATGATTTTACCACAAAATCACAACACCAAATGCTGTGGCTATCTCTGATCCCAAGAAAACCAAATATAAATTAAATATGAGATTTTCAACATTTAAATGTAAGCGAAAAAAGAACATTGTCACAACAATTAAGGTGTAAATCCCCAACCGTAAATAGAAAGAAATGTTGAATCCAGTAACCAAACTATTGATCTTCTCTACACCCGCAATTCTTTTAATTACAAATTAGATTTTACTATTTATCACAGTGAACAGAAATTTGTATATTTACACAGCAAAGCCAGTGTTTGGGCTTTTTAGAAAACTTACTAAACACTATAAATTTTTCATGTAAATAATGTACATGTTAAGAGTTTTCTTATTAAACAACAAAAAGAACCAAACAAACACTCCATTTAAACCTTTGTCTGCAGAAATTGAAAATACAACTGTTGCTGGTCAGCTAAAGGAGAAAGAAAACATACCCAAAAGCCAGGGCTAACAAAGAATGTTGTTTCTTGAAATAGAACCACAAATCCATTTCTTTCTGTAAAGACTAAACACAATAAAAATCTTTTATTGACAAGCGTTTTGATAGATCTGGCATTGGTGACCACCTGACAATGTAATTTATCTTTATGTATGTTTTAGGTAGTGATGTAGCCAAGAAAAATGGAGCTTTTACTCTAATTATGTGTGTCTGGCCCATATTTACTGTTGTCATCTCATATGCAGTGTAGTGAGTAACGAAAAAGTAATTGAACAACAAAATATTTATTTTCATAGCACTGGTAGACTTGCTACACGCTACGAGTTGTCATGGTGTTATTAAATGGCTGAATTCTGATATCTTCCTTTGATTCTTCTTGATTTAATTTTTCGAAGATTATACACGTATTTAATAAAATATACATTTAAGTTGATTTATCCAAAGGGGAACCCCCACGGTCTGGGGATCTAAGTTCTTGATACAGGGTGTTTCAAAAAAAGGTAATATAAAGAAACTTATTTTAATTACATTTATACCTCCTAGCGTGGAGATCAATCATTGCCGCTGAATCATACAAATTTCAAACTATCGGCTGATTTCAAAGATGCTCAGTTCTTTTAAGAAATATTGTAAGATATTTTGATAACAAAAATTTGCAAAGATCATCAAGTGTACGCTCACTACGCTGAAATCGATCGAGGTGTTTAACTACACTGTGAAGCATTTGGAAGAAATGAAAGCATAAAGCACTGTTTTTCCCGCTGTTAATAAAGTTGTACTAGATTTTGAAACCTTAATTACCATTAAATTTGTTTCTATATATGAAATATAATACGCTTCGATAAATATTTTAAATATTGATTTGTTTTATCTTTCGTCATTGACTTTAATTTTCGTCGATCAAAATAATAGTTGACTTGAATTGTGATTTTATTGTTTTTTTGTGACATCTCTATCCGAATCATAAAATATTTCTGAACTATTGTAAAGATAACAACATCGCAATGAAGACATAATTGAATTCATTTCTTGGCATAGGAAAAGGTTAAACTCTTACCTCTAGGTTTATTAAATATTAAAAGATTTTGTACATGCATTAATTTTATGAATGGCTTCGAATATTACCTTTGACATAAAAAACAAGTTGAAGTTAGAAAAAGTACAACTTTTGTGCCAAAGGCATTTGATGCCACGTTTTAAGTATGTATAGTATTTTGATTCATTCATTTTTTATCATTTTCACGCACTATTTTGAACATAAACGACGCAGCATTTATTAAAATGGAAATCAGATTAAGACTGTCTATTTCTATGCGAAGATATTTATAAACTTCCTTTATATTGTAAGTTCTCATCATCTAACTAAAGAATTGTATCACATTAGCCAAGTCGTTGAAATATATTAGGAATAACAAAGGGCCCAGAATAGAAACCTGTGGGTTTCCTGTGAGACTTTCTTCCTCCTGTGATATAACTCTTCATATTATAAAGCGAATATATAAAAACGAGAGACTCAAAGGTATAGAAACTGAGGTAGACCCAAAGATGGACAAAAACATAGGCAAAAAGGTAGACAAAAAGATACACGAAAGATTGACAAAAAGACGAACACTAATGGAAACAAAAAGATAGACACAAAAGTAGACGTTAAGACTAAAGTCAGACAAAAACATAATGTGCAAGGATTGTCGTTTCACAAAAAGATACATTACTATTTTTTCATTTAATTTTAGACATTTGGACCAACAAACTGAAAATAGTTAATTTGTTTCGGAAGAAAAAGAATGGACGATATTAACCATCGTATCTAGCTAATTTTCAGGCTATCTGACAAACATCCCCAGTTTCATGTCGACGACGGCAAGTACAGAAGCAAGATTGGCCATTTCTTACAACTGTGCATGTCGCACACGACATGAAATTGAAAATATTGACTGCAGTAAGAAAATTAGGATTTTTATAATTTGTTAGGATTTTTATATAAAGATAAATTCCATGTTTTTATCCCACAAGATTTTCACATTAAAAAATGTCGAAATTTGGGCGTTTGATAATGGCGTAATTTTATTCATCTGTAAAGAAAATGAAATTCTGTAAAGGTACAATAGTTAATTTAAACACATGAGATAAACACAACTTTCTCATGCGTTTATTTTGTTGCTGTAAAAATCTTACCATCATAAATCGTTGGTTAAAAGTGACTTGTCTTTCGATCAATTGTCGAGACAAGAATCGTGATCTAAGAAAGAAAAATGCTCAGGAAAACATTTAAAACAGCCAAAGGCCAATAAACTGCATTTGACTTGGAGACACTGGAGATTGAAACGTTGCTAAAGAACAAAATGTTTTGATTTCCCATTCATAGCTTGCCATGTAAAAGGCCTGGTGGACTCACAATATATACACGTCTTGTAAAATTACTGTCATAAACGATGAACGAGGAAAAAGATACTTACAATCTTCATATTTCTTCAGTTATAAAGCAGTTCTGACAAAGTAGAATATATATTCGTAAATAGCTCAGCCTCAAGGGTATGGTGAACAAAAGCCAAATACGTTTTCATTGTGGTCAATAATCAATTTCTTTATTTATATAAGTCCTCCATCATGGCGAATTAAAACCACAAACATTTGTTCTATGTTTCTCGATCGCATTAACAGAAAAATGTTCATGTCTAAAATAAAGCAAAGAATTAACATTAACAAAAACAAAAACTTTATAAGAAGACGTATATTTAGGTCACACATTTTGCATAAAGATGTTAATGTCGTTTACATTTCACACTTCAATCAAAGAGAGTTCTCTCCTAACACGAATATCAAAAATCACATTTACCTTAACATGTTATCGAAAAAGTGAAAAATATATTTCGCTTTCGGCAAATATTCTTCGTCTATGTAGGAAGGTAGAGATTTAAATAACGCATTGACAAGTTTGAGTTGATCTTAAAATATGCCTTTCGCATATTCATCTTTCGCTTTGGGTTCCTTACATCAGGCCTTCAATCGAAGTGCAGACTATGATAGAAAGCAAGTTGGTCGCTGGATACACACGCGTGCTGTATTTCGAGCAAAGTCGTACAACCAAAAACGATTTGGCCCTAATCAGACCATTGGATCGTGGTTTGTAACAACAAACAGTAGTGAAGAGCTACCAACTCACATCTTTGTGGCTTTCCAAGACGCTGAACGCTTTAACAATCAAGAACAAACTATACATGTCTTTGACCATGCTAATTTAAATCAAATTTATTTTGAGATCAATAACACTCAAAAGTATCCTGATAAACCGCTTGATGTTAATTACGCAGCTGCTAACAGCAATTACAGCATAGCCTACATGATGTTTCAAGACGCTGCGATGAAGTACAGCGATCCAGATACAGGCTCTCAAGTAAGCTTAGGAGACTTTGCAAGCCTGTTTCCTATTTACCATTTCGATGTAAGTCATCATGCCGATGTTTTGAGAAAAAAAGAGGCAAACATTAGAATTCGTTGGACCTTCAACCAAGCTTTTCGTAGCGCGATTAATGCTGGTGGCAGCAATGCGTATAACATGTTCTGCTTGGTGCTTAGCGAACGATTTATTCGACTTAATGGGATAAACGGTAAAATGGACATAATCGTTTAGACTGTTAGTCTGATGTGATATGTTATTATTTAAAAAGAATTTATAAGATTAACAAAACAAAAAGTTTATATACGCAAATTGTTTTGCATGTGCACAAAAATGTCGGACATTAATAACGCAATATTTGTTGAAGCTCTCAGACCCGCCATGGAGCGAGTAATCACTCAGGAATTTAAAGGCACTGGTATTTATCTTCATGGGTCAAGAAGTATAGAAGGCGGTAGCTTTATTGGAAATCTTGTTGGAAAACTCATACCTACGGTCACTAAACTCATAACAAATGTGTTACGGTCTCTAGGCCTAGCAGCTATATCAGGTGCTATCACCGGCAGCACGCAAAAAGCAGTTGCTGGTAGTGGTGTAGTTAGGAAAGGTGGTGCAGCTGCTAAAGGTGGTGGACGTAATAACTACACAGTTCACGGCGTTACACTTTCAACGGCTCAGAAAAATAACCTGGCAAAGGCAGTCAGAGACGGAACCGGAGTGACTATACGACTTACCAAAAAAGCACTTGACTGCCTTGACATGCTTATGCTTACTAAGACGCAAATTAAGCGCATAATGGGTGCAAAACACACAGGATCTGGGTTGGATCTAAAATTGTCTAAGAGTCAGATTACAGCCATGGTTTCATTTCATAAAGTACTAGCAATTTTTTCTCGCAATAGTCACAATCTTCTGTAATAAAAATAATCACTATGTGTACTTTACCTTGACAAAATACTAATGTCACTTAAGTTTGGTTCCTTCTCTTTGAGCAAATAATAATGTTCACTATCCTTAGCAACAATTTCTTTTGCAGAATCTAAAGAGAAACATCAAAACAAACATCAATTTATCATCTTACTAGAGAGGTTACTAAAATTGACCTCTTTGTTTTAGAATTAAAATCAATCTATTCAAAAAAATCCTACCAATTTTAGGCTTTTTTGCAATGGGTTGATTTCTTAGATAGCAACTTCTGGTTTGATGTCGTTCAGCAAGGCTAAGTGCAACATTAGTGAAGTTTCCAAGGTATGAAGCCAATCTTTTAAAGTAACTGTGCTTTGCTTCATATCGCATGCACCAGCTCCGAATCATTGGTCCAAATCTGAAAAAATCAAGGACTCATGTTAGCTAGAGGGAAACCAATGATGTAATTTTTACATGCATTTTGAGTTACATACCATATTTTTATTTATAAACTAAGATACAAACCAGCAAAATCATACCTGTAAATATGAGCTGGGTAATGAACCAAGTAATGCATCTTGGGTATAACTGAAAGCCCAGGATAAAGCTGGGTGAATTTCCACAAAAATTCCTTCAGGTATCCTTCCAGGATAGCAAGTTCATCAGTGTTTGTGATTGGTGAAAAAACAATGTCAACAATTTTAAGGAGCAACAGAAAATGCATCCACTTTTCTTCATCCTGAGGAATGGCACTGCCGAGAGCTAAAGGAAGGAATTTTCCAAGGCACCACATTTGTCTTGCTATAAAAGAAAAACCAATCATTTAAATCAAGGGTGATGGTATTAATGCTCGTGACAATCACTACACCCTACCTTTTGCTTTAAACTATTGTTTTCACTCCTCAAAGTTGTCCGGTGATTGGTGATGGCTTGTTTTATCATTAAAATATCCATAATCAAAAGAGTTAATTCTTTCATTAAGTTGCTCCACTGTTAAAAATTTTCTTTAAATATGAAGTCCTTCAGCAATTCTTTACATACATACTGAAGTACTCCTTCTAGTATATCATGCATTGCATCACCTGGCATGCCATCTGCTACATGAAAATACCTAGAGTTGCAAAGAATTGATCTCCTGCAAAGCCCATATGCTTTACTCAGTTCTGGGTTTTCTTCAATCAGTTCACATTGGCGGTCATGACCAGCACGAGTTCCAAGTGTAAAATGTTTTTCTAAAACTGAAAGACTTACTTTAAAGTGTATGTTCCTGGTCTGCTAAAACCATAATAAAACATTTGATCTATGTTGAAACAGGTTAATAATGTATTATCATAAACATACATACCTTCTGCTTTATTTGTTCAGTGGTCCCCATGCATTGCCGGCATTTCAAATGTGCACCTGGACCTTCTTTGAATCCACCCATGAGTTGTGATCCAAGATTGTCTCCAGAAACCAACACAATAGTCCCAGAAAATGACATAGGTTCACCTTTAACAATGAACTGGTGACCACCATCCTCAAAAAGAAGTGTGACAGTTAATTTTAAGCAATTTTATCAAACTACTTACTCTGCACAATTATCAATAACAGGTAATAAGCTAAAAACAATAAATAGGATCACTTACTTGTTCAAGGTATTCAAGGTCATTCATGAAAGGCTCCAAGAGAATGTCAATGCCATATTTTTTGATAATTGGAACTGTTGCCATAAGGAGTAGGTGAATGTTATCACACTGGGATCGATATCGAGGATCAATATTTCCAGTTGTGTAGTAAACAACTCCTGTCATACAGAAATAATGGCATATGATGTAATAAGAGCTTCTTATAGCCTTTCATTGCTCATACACTTTTACATTTGAGTGACTGATTTAGTCACTATGATGTCATTAAACTATTACCTAACTTATGCTTTCCAGTTTTACTACCAAGGGCATTTGCAATTTCCAACTCATCATAGTAAAGCATGATTTGTAAAGCAGTTGAGTCCTTGGAAAACAGAGGATGGGTTTTGAAATACTGGCCATCAAACATCCTCAATCACATCATCATGTTTATGTTGCCGAAGATGACCATGGTTTAGCTGAAATTGAAATCGAAGAATGAAAATATTAAATTTATTATTATTAGCAATGGAAATGTCTGGTGGTAGGATGGGTGCCTTCCTACCATCAGATATTTCAAATTAAAATCAGGCTATTTTCATATTTTCATGAAATAATTGGAATATATTTTTGGAAATGTGCTCTAATAAACGCATGTCATCATTGTTTTTGCTTTCATGGAAACTAACACAGTAAAACACACATAAAGTTCCTTTTATGGTTATACATAGAACATGTATTAATATTTTGCAACCCTGTTATTGATATGGGTACTTGCAAAGATGTAGTTGTCATAGTTTGATAAACTTGCCAACATAAAAAAACACAACCATGCTATTAACAATCTGACCTGTTCAAGTACTCCTTTTACATTGAGCATTTTTTCCAAGGATTTAAGCAGTGGTATGTACATGATTTCGTCATCTTTAATAACCTCTTTGTACACAGTCCTTGAACGTCTTTTCACAACTCTGTGTCCAAGTTTAATTGTCTGGGTTGCTACAATTAAAATAATGATTATGCATAACAAGCACTAAAGAGCAGCTGGCTCAAATATGTTAAAAATCTCAAAAAACTTTATCCAAAACTCTAAACATTCTAAAAAAAGTCAAAAAACATAGAAATAAAACTTACAACTAAGCCAAAATGCTCCTCAAAATAAGCATTCTGTTTATACTTTGTGGAAATATGTTTGAATGGATTTGAGATAGCATGTCCTTCATCAAATAATTCATCAAGACCTGGCACATCATTATAATTTAATCCAGCTTTCTCTAAGCAATTTTGCAAACCGTGTTTAATTGCTTTGACTGTTCCTTGGACAAGTTCAGTGGAATCTTCTACAATGTTATCCACACATTTTTGTGTGAGCAGATTGATTTCTTTTGTTTTTAGAAGAAATTGAGCCTTTTTGTGTTCCATTGCTTGAACAGAGTCATCAAGTTCATTTTCCTGTTGAATTCATCAATTAAGAGTTCAAGGCCATCCTCATCAGGACAAAATTGTTGTGAGTGCTACTCGCTGATTCAACGCAACATAGATGACGTGAGTTTAAGTCAACATTGGCGTGCTTTCTTCTAAGATGACTTTTGTAAGAGTTAACCTAAACAACAAATCCGTGAACGCACTGAATAAGTAAATATTTTTAACAAATAACAAACAAATCAGTGTCGTATCAAGAATCAAAAGCTTACCTTAGCGAAGGTTGAATTACATTCCGGCACTTCGCAGATAATATGCAATCTGGCATCGTGTTCATGAACAGCGACCAAATGATGCAACATTCCAGCGACAGACGTTGAAAAACGTTGCACATACCTGACAACACAATCGTGGCATAATTAATTGAATTTTACGAATATTCTTGCGTCACTAGTCAAGTGACAACTCCGTTACCGTTTGTTAGAGCAATGAATGAGTAAAATCAGATCAATATTAAGTGTCATTAAGTGCATTTCTTTGTCCAATTAGTTGCGAACTTGCGGCGATTGGTCGATTTGGTCACATGACATCCCATTACGCAAAGCGGCACGTGCCTGACTTCCTGTTGCCGATGTATGTAGTCGCGTGGCGTGTTTCTAAACTTCTTGTGCTTTGTTGAAGTGCATTTAAGCGTTTAAACTCTTGTATTGTGGGCAAAATGGAAATCAACAAACAATCATCTGTCGCTGACATTATTCTTTTTTTGAAAAACAACAAATTGGATGAAATTGTCGAAGATTTTAAAGGTATTGTCTCATCCTGAAATGTAGGTCGCATGTGTGAGGGTTGTTGTCTCGTGCATAAATCTAGTGTAGAAAATAATTCAAAATTAGATTTATAGATGACTTGCCTTGTTTACGTTTTGCTAGCAGGCAGATTTGGTCGAGCGCTTTTAGAGAATACCAACAGCAATAACGTAATTTCATTGACGTTTTGCTTCTTATATTTTTAAAGCTAATCAAGTCGACGGTGAGGATTTTTTCAATTTAGAACCACATGATATTTATCAGATGATTCCTCGAATAAAACTTCACAAGAAGTTTACGTGTATTTGGAATGACGTTACTCAAAAGGTAAATTGAAGCCTTACAGGTTTTCTACATAAAATGGTTTAGGTATGGGTTGAAGTATTAGGCATGTTAGACTGATGAGAGGGTAATATTCATATGTGCATGGTATACTTTACTAGATTCTAGTACTACAAACAATTTTAATTCAACAGATTATATGTAGCATATGAATTTATGAATATGAGTTTTTTGCCAATTATTAATCTGCAGCTGTTCATGAGTATATATGCTGTAGCAAAACTGTCTGTTGAATTACAATTACTTAGAGAAAGATAATTAGTTTTTTGGTTTAATTTTTTCCAGCTGAAAGCAGAGTTAGGACGTATTTTGGAGAAGAGTGATGTTGTGCAAGACATGAAGGAACGATGGAATTTGCACAAATATAAAATGCTGTCTGCTATTAAAAAGACAAAGCAAAAGAATGTCAGCAGTATCCTTGAAGAGCTGGAGGATTGTCCAGTTGAAGATGAGAAAGGTTGGTGTAAAAATCAATAAGTTAAAATCCCTATTTATACTGAAGTGTTAATGCTTTAGAGAGTGATAATGGTAATATATTCATTCTATGCTATGTTGATTATTTTAGAGGTCAAGAACCGGTGTATAATGGCATGTTTGCCTTATGTGTTAGATGACCAATGCACCCATCGAGATATGAACAAAAGCTATTTTGGGACATTGTTGATGTAAGAGTTGATATTGTCACAAATAATATTTTCTGCATAAATGTGTGAAAAATTGATAAATAATTTTATCTCTGTTGAAGGGTAAAAGCTTGGGGAAGTTCAAGAGATCATTAACAAAAGTTTGTCTCCTGGACTCCTATCAACAGGAACATTAAGAAACATTCATTCAATAATGTTGGTGGCTGAGGGATGATTGTGGCAAAGCTGAAAACGGAAAATATTGTCAATGCAGTTATTATTTTACTTAGTTCTTTTATACTTTTAATGCTGAGTATCCTAAAGGCGTTAATGGACATTGCAAAATGTATTTATTCTTTTAGAACATTTGCTTTTAAATTCAAAATGCAATTGTAAGGCTCAATTGCCAACTTTTGTCGATCATTTTATTTCTTCTATGAAGTAGAAAACTTTGTAGTGTTAATTAATGGCATGTAGTAGAGATTTTAAGTATTCTGTGTTTGCAAAAATGTGCTATTTATAATTGTGTGATTGATTTTCTTTAGCTTAGTTAAAAGATCCTCTATATTGGTCAAATGGTCATGGATATGCACCTGAAAAAATGCTTATTTAATGGTAAAAACAACCAAATAAAATTGGTCAAATAAATTGGTAAATTTAACCAGTTTTGTTTTTGGTATTTTTGACCAATTTAGGAATTGGTTGTTTTGACCTGTAAAAATTGTTCTTCTCTGGTGCATTCAAATGACCAATTTTTTTGGTCATTTTGACCAATCTATTTTACTGTGTAGAACATTGGATTCCAGGGTTAGAATATTACTTGATCATATAACTAAATGGCATTTTCAAATCTTGAAAAAATTTGACGTAAAATAATATTAAATATATAATTTTATTTTGACTATGTTGATTAAATCTACTTCATTCAGTAGCTAAATAATTGCAGGCTACCAACATGTATGAATTGCGTGCCAATTTTTTTAAATGTATGCCATTGTATTTTATAAACGCAGTGTTTTGGGAGTTGTACCCAAAAGCCAAGAAATGAAAAGAAACGTGAATATTCATGATAACTACGATAAATAATGTTATGACAAATGGCTTCACTTGGCCCCAAATGTGGACACTGTTTTTTCAAACCAAAACGAAATGGGAGGGAAAACCGGCGGATCCGGTAAAAACCCTCCAATAAAAGAAAAATAAAAATTTAGAAGAATTGCCTCAAATTTTGTAGTGTTTTATGATGTTTTATATTTTGTTGTTTTCAATGATCCCGATGATCTACTTTAACATGCAGCGTAGTCAGATCGTGCGTCTTATACAGTCGTATAAAAATTTAAATTTACGGAGCAATAAAATGTGGGCTGACTACCCTATTGACACAGCAAATATTTTTGTTCGTACAAAGAAACGCAAACTTTGTAGAGCACAAAAATGAAATAGTGCAGAGTGTTAACAAAAATTGTAATCAATAGACGAAAAACGAAAACTAATAGCAGCCATATATAAATCATGTATAAAAATTATTCAGTACGTAGGGACCTGACCATTCACCTGCCCATAACAATTAAAAATGAAATGACTAAAGAGACGTTATGACTTGCATAAAAATAAATTTTGATGTCTGCTAGACTTTATTCCATTGAAATTTTCTATGTTGCCTCATTAATTAATAGCTGGCTTTCACTCGTGTGTTTTGTCAGAAAATTTAACAATTGTGAACATTTAGTTATACGGAAATTTTTAACGGTCGAATTTGAAAATGCGTTATACTGATAGACATTATGGATAAATAAATTAGCAAGTGTGCATCTTATAATAACGACGCTTGTTTCTTGGTGTTTCTGCCCGACTTCGTCGTTCATTCATTGTCCAGTTAGAAGGCCTACAGACATAGCTACTCTATAAAAAACACGTTATAAATGTCAGCATAATGAAGGAACAAAAACAGAAATTAATTATATTGAAAAGAACAAAACTTTAATACCTGATTTCCAAGGGTTGTCCTGGTCAGTTTGATCCAGGCGACTTGGTCGGTCTCTTCCTTTTTTTTCACCGCGTAGTTTTTACGTTGTATCGTTGAAATTAATTGTAAAATTTTTATCTTAGTAATTCAATGAACCCTACTTGCATCATTGCAATTTTCTTAATAAACGTTAAATAAAATTACTAAAAAGTAGCGAGTGAAAGCCAGCTATTTTCTCACAGCAAGTGACATCTTTTATTGACACTTTTTTAAGTTGGGTGTTTTTCATGGTTAAGTTTCAAATTATAAAGATAGACCATCAGGATCCTTTTAACTATCTCATGCAGTTACTCATACAAGTTAATTTTAACACTTATATCTACTCAACTTACAAACCACAAGATATAGATCGTGTTTTCCACTCGCTTGTTTTCCATCTTCGTAGAATGTAGTCCATTTTTATAGTGCAATCACTTCAATGTAAATGTTCATACGTACATATGCCGTTATGCGATGTCCATTCAACATGTCGATACCATTCCATACACGAAGTAAGGAGCATCATCAACCAATAAAGAAGCTACTGATATGATGAATCGCCATTTCGATAGACTACAATTCACAATGCACTGTTATGGTAACTTCAAGCGAAGGAAAAGGGACCGCCCTTCAATACCCCAGTTTTATCATTACTCAAAGAATGCTTAGTGCAGAGTTGATCTTCTGTGAGTATCAGTTGACCACCTTTAGGTGGGTTCATATAACAATGGGGCCCATCATCATTATATGAACAAACAACTGACATCAACAAAGAATCCAAACTACAAATGAACATTCTTGGCCATGAATCACCATGACACATGAGTAATGACAAACTAGTAAGAGTAATTGAAGTGAATGACACAGGTGGTAAAGGGACTTTCACAACTCCATTCTTGTGGGATCTACAATATAAGAAAATATGAAACACATGTATGAGATTTCATGATGAATAACTCTGCATATGACGTTAGTTTGCGTTTTAAATTCTTAATCAGATATATTGAGAATGAGCAAATTGTTATATGTTTTCTGTTTGACTATTCAAACGGTAGAACATTCACCTTCATTGCACGAATAGCTTTAGTGAGTTGAGTTTGAACGATGTAACAAGTTTCACACGATCAAAGACTTATAATCATGATGAAAGCATTTTACAGTGAAATCTTTCAGATTACGAGGCCTACACTAAGACCAGTTCATTATTCCATGTAACTCATACTTCCGTATTTGTCAGTAAAAAGACAGAATTTACCTTTCTTCCTACAACGTTAAAGTGAGTAATTTTCTGTTGAAGTAAAACACACGAATTTAAACATGTTAACGTTTCTTTAATTGACGTCATAACTAAAATTATTATTGTGATTGGCTCCTTAGGAGCATGTCACCTTTCACAAAGACAACAAGTAATCCTTCAATGCGTTTTTAAGGCCTGTTTCAAACATTGCATTTTACATGTGCCGAATGTATTTAAGACAAAAGATAATAAGGAATTTTATCTCATTATCTTTTGTTTTAAATGCATTGGGCGCATGTAAAATGCAATGTTTGAAACAAACATTGAAAGATTACTTGTTGAATGGTGACATGCTCCTAAGGAGCCAATCACAATAATAATTTTAGTTATGACGTCAATTAAAGAAACGTTAACATGTTTAAATTCGTGTGTTCAACAGAAAATTCAAAGTCAAATGACTACCGCTAAGGTTGTTGAAAGTTAAATATTCGCTGTGCAAATTATTTACCATCCAGTCATAGTGGACTTTGCTCTAAACTTGACAATTTACAAGGTGTAAATACTGTGAAATCAACTCTAAAATCTCGCAAAAACTTTCTCAATGACCAATGAACGAAAACGGTCACTTTCAATTTCGCGTTGGAAATGGGCTCTTGGTAGATAAATGAAAAATGTGCCACAGGAAAACAAATAGTAAAATATCTTCGCAAAGTGAAAGTTTTAATGAGAAAAACATGTTATTTTATCATTATGAAAATGTTATCTATGTTCTTTTCACATGCTTTCCTTGACTTTGAAAAATGTTCAAAAAACAATAATTTTACATGGGTAAACAAAGAAATTGTTCCCGTGAGATGAAACGTAACATGTAAAATTTACCTTCCATCTTTACTAAATGATGTTTGTCGAACGGCTGCTGTACATTTAGGATGAGAGAGAACTTTCTGCCTGCGTGGGAATTAAACAAATAAAATTGCATTAAGATGATGTATGTTGTTACCATTGAACATGGAACGCTACCTCAAGCAAATAATTAAAGCCAAATCTTACATCCAGACACGCGAGATTACACCCAGACACGCGTGTTTAGTGTTTCGAGATTCTCTCGCGGAGTGAAAACTGATTGACTACACATGTCCCCTGAAGTCCTCGTCATCACCAAGACCATCCACTTGAGACATACGTAAAGGTGGTTTCCAGTCCATTTCCTCTTCATCCTCCGAACTGCAAGTGAAGAAGACAGCTACTCAAAACTTTAGAGAAGATTGATTGTTTTTCATTTAAGATGTTTACAGTGTTTACACAGGATTATGAAAAGCAAGGAGACCTTTGGGAGAACTCGATCAGTGATGACCAGAGTCAAAGGCTTGCACCTGCTCCAAAGTTCTCACAAACGTCTCCGAGGTTTGCATAAGCCTGTGTAAACACGAAAAACATCTTTACTTCTTTATAAAACAACGATAATACAAAACAGACAAATTAAAAACAAATGTTTTAATTTTTCCTGTAACATGTTTTCATGATTGATTTGGAAACTCTCTTTGATTGATTTTAATTGATTGAGCTCAGATAGGTTCGCTCATGCCAAGTTTGCTAATGTTAACTCAACTATAGACAAATCAACGCACGCATTTTTCTGTCTTTATTTTATAAACAAAAATGGATACTTTTACCTTTGGGAATCATGTTCCTCTTCATCATCTTTCCAAAATGGCTGTGACATTAATATTGATTCTTTATCTTCATAAATATCTTCATCATGTTCATCATCACTACCTTCTCAATAAACAATAAAATAAAAACGATTGATTGAAAAACTTCATATAAGACATATTTTACTAAACACAAATGGAACTGTACACAATCACCATTGATATCCATGTCTAATCATGGCAGTGTGCGAATTAGCGGTGTGCAATGTGCAATTTGCACATCGTTTTAGCTAAAATGAAAACAATTGCACATCACTTTTTCAAACGATATACAAAAAACTTCATTATTGATTACTACCACATAAATTGAAAAACGTTTCAAGCTTAATCTTTACTGATCTTTACTTTATAAGCGAGTGCGCTGCACGACATTAAAATCCATGTTGACACAATGTCATCAAATTCAAAGACGTTGCCACTGCGACTGGGAAGTCTGTCAACAGTCTACATACATGGTGCTTATATGCTTATGACAATAGGGGTGTCATACATTATTAATGTCAATTTTTGCATTTGCGTTGTTTTGTAAACCGTTACGTACTGTTTTTGGCATCATAGCTATTTTGAGGATTTTCAGTAAAATCAGGAAACATTTTGATTTTGATTCTTAAAGGGGAACTCCACCCAAAAATAATGTTGGTCTTAAAACTTTGTCTGTCCCGTGAAAATAAATATGCGGCAATTTTTTTGTTTGTTTGATTCAATATTTTCACAAAATGAAGTTTAATGCTGCAGCTAGGGCATCCGGTGCGTGGGAGCAGAAATATGTCAGCGGCCTGTATTGACGTCATATCGTCAATTGCTCCTCAAAGCTTTATGTAAAGTCATTGCACAGTCATAATAAACTTGCGTCAAAAAAGCACCTCCTAATCACAAAATGTTTCTTTTCGAAACGTCAGAATTTTTATTCGTAGGTATACACTAGCAACTTTTACAGCACATTGCAAGTATTGAGATGGTTATTTGTGTATTCTGTTTTAATGAGACGGTTTCCACATCCATAAAGTTTGCCTATATAAATTCAATTATATATCCAGTGTCAATTGCTAATCTGAATAATTAAACAGTTCTCTCGGTTGCCTTAATCTCAAAATCATTGTAATGAGACAGAAGTACTATGAACTTATAGTTTCCTAATTGTGTACATGAATTGTATAATAATGGATTGCTAGAATACGGAGGAAAATCTACCTCCTCTCCAATACTGTTACGTTTGCAGCGAGCACTTTGCTCCCGATTGTTTTGAATCGGACCTAAGACAGAAACTTACACCATGGAAACCTTTAAAAGGCTGAAACTGGGATGCAGTACCATCGATCTTTCATTTGGCCCTCAACCCAGTAAAAGCGTCTGTCTAGCGAGCATCGTACAGAGAAACGTCAGGCTGACCAAGACAAGGAGGAAGTTAGTAAAAGCATTTCTTGTTAAATTTTAATCACAAAAAGTTATAGCCTAAAGTATTTTCTAAATATTTCTATTTTTCTATTTTCAGCTTTCAAATATTTTAGAACAATGTTCCTCCACAAGTACAAATGTTTTCTCAGTGGTTGAGCCAGAAACAAAATAACAGTTGTGATTTGGGTGCGTCTGACAGTCTGAAGCATTGCCAACTAATTATTGCAAGCCACAAACCAAAGATGCATCAACACAGTGTTCATTTGTTGTGAGGAGTTTACATGCCATGGAAGTCCAAACTACACTGTCGATGCTGAATACTGTGGATGCAGAGGTTGAAAAACAAACACCCTCATATTGATCACCAATATGATGTGTGGCATTTGTCTAAATCTTTCACAAAAAAAACTAACAAAGAAGGCTAACATTAAGGGAAATGATGACTTCACCCATTGGATTAAGTCCATTTCTAATCATCTTTGGTGATGCTCTGCAAGTTGTAACAAGAATGCAGAAGAATTGGTGGAAAAATGGAAGTCTGTCCTTAACCACATTTCCAACAAGCATTTCTGGAAGGGGAACACATATTTTCATCAATGTTGCCACCAACAATTAAGAGAAAAAGAAACAAAGCAGAAGAAGTGGTTATCTCCTACTTCACAAGCATATATCGCTGCAGAGAAGGTGATAAGTGACAAGAGGCTTCTAAAAGACCTGCCCAAAGCGAGAGCATTTTTTTCATTTCCTGGGATGGTAGCCCGCACTCAGTGAGCAGCATTAGATCACAACAACAATATTAAACGTGATAAAGCAGTCATTAAGTCAGGGACAAACAAAGGGCAAGACCGTTACAAAATGATTTTTGCTAAAACAAAGAAGCAATGAAAGAAAAGAAAGAGTACCAGTACATTGATAAACTACTTGCGGAGGTTGTGAATGCATGCAAAACTGAGGAGATTGAACTTGTACATCATGGCAAGAATCTTCCAAAGAACATTTCTAAATCATGTCCACCCAGGAAAGAAGTACTTGTAAAGGAACATCATGCTAGATTTGCATAAAATGTCAGTGGTGATGTTAGCTATGGCAACAGGTTTTGCCATACCCATATAATATGATGTTGAATCAGTGAAGACAACTTTTGTACTACTTAAAAAATGTTCATTCTTAAATATTAACATAGCAAAACCTTTTGCTATAGCTAGTTTCACCACTGCATTACACAAACTATTCATGTAATTAATTATAGTTATATTATAACCAGTGTAATAGCCAAGCCACATTTATAATCATTTCTTTGTAAATCTGTTTTTTTTTGTAATAAATTAATAATAATAAATGTGCATAGCATGACCTGTAAATGAGCTGGCTATGCCACTTTAATAACTGGTTAAATGGCTATGCCACTTTAATATTGACATACAAAGTAATTGTAATGGGTATATACCTATATCATAATAAAATACTTCATTCATCAACATAGTGAAAGCCTTCAAATTGAAATTCCTCTGCAAGGCCAGGTGGAGGACTGGAAATGTTTCTCTAATGCGAGTAACTGCACATGATGGCAAGATGACTCTCACTTCTCTACCCAAGACACCCCAGCACCATCTAGCCAACTGTCTATATGCAATATGGCGGTACAGTTTGTCCTCGGGCCCATCATATGCTACCTCATATTGCTGCTTGTACTGGTACCAAGCTGTTTGTAAAACCCACCTATTAAGACAAACAGGCTCAAAACCAGGATGTTGTGTAATGCATAAAGGGACTTCGGTGGTCTCATTCGTTTCTACTGCCTCTAAATTTTTGTCACAAATATTGGAAATCTCTTTGAAGCATAAACATTCCTCGTTATTATCCATTATTTGGCAGTTACCACATTGACACCTGAATATGTTAAAAGAAAGGATCTTGTAAAGTAAATGTCAAAACTTCAATAAAATTTGTATCTTACAATAAAAACTTTAAAATCTAAAGTATTATGTGTGTGTGGACGTGGTCAACTTCAAAAACTGAAAACGTACTTTTGAGATAGAAACAATGGTCTAGAATAATATAACATTTTACTACCCACCATTCAAGATTGTCGCGCCGAGATTCATCGTCAATATACAAAAATTCCTGTTCTTCGTTATCCTCAAACTGGTGAGCTTCTTCGTGTTCATCAGCCGGCCATTCGGGCTCAAACTGATATGGCCGAATATTGTTTGTTGGATTGTCTTCCATTTCACTATCGATTGGTGAATTAGGCCGAGGTTCTTCCAAAAAAGCCATTATAAGCGATTGTTTTGTTTTTGTGCTAGGCTGTGCCTTATTATTTTACTTTGTTGTAAACTTAACTCCAAATCGGTTTGACGATATGACGTCAAAATCATTTCCGCTGACGCTTTCTGTGCCCACGCTGCTAAGCCTCAAAACAGCTCAAATAGCGCACTTGAAGACGCGATTTTGTCAAAAATAAAATAGCTGATGTAAAAATTTCAAAAATATAGTAACCTTTGCATAAAAATGGAACTTTTAAGACCAACATTATTTTTGGGTGGAGTTCCCCTATAAAAAAGACAAAAAAACTTAAATAAGCTAAATTTGAAAATCAAACCAAAGGGAATTTTGATTTTAAATAAGCCTAACGTGAGAAAAAGAAGTCAAATTTGCCTAAAAATACTAAGCAACCTTGGCAACCTTGATCAGCCATACTTTTTGATTTTACATATTGCTTGTAATATGACATAAATATGATGTTCTTTATCGTAAGCAAACATCAAGGATGTTACTGTTAATAATCAAAAAGCAAAAGTATATTCGGTTATTCTCTTTTCACTTTTGTCTTTCTTGTCACTTTCATCGAAAGGTTGTAGCTGCTAGCAAAGTTAATACAGTAAAAAATTGGATGGAAACATCTAATGCTGACTTATTTGAGTGCCAGGATGATGGCCAAGTGGTGAATTTATTGCGCTGTAAAGATTGCACAAAAAAGAGGAGAGAATAACATGCGAAAAAAATTTCTCTCATACATTTGTAACTGAATCAGCGGTTGCAACAAAAAACACTGTCGTAAATCATATGAATTTGTGCATGTTTAAAAATATTAATTTAGAAATTAGCGCTATATAATAATTAACGTAATATCGATTTTATTATGCCAACTAAAGAAACACTTTTGTCAAAAAAAATTGCACATCGTTTTTTCTCAACTAATTCGCACACTGCTGTAAAGTAAACAAAAATTAATAAAGGAAAAGTTAAACACATCTTTAACAAAACATGAAATTTTATGTACTATAAAACAGCATCATTCGGAGATGAACATGTCACAGCCGCTGAATGCCATAACAATATAAAATGCATGAAATGTATTGTGAGCTATACAATGATGTAACATGTATTTTTTGTACCTTACCTTGTGAAACAGGAAGAGGAACTTGTGAAGATAGTCCAATATCTCGTCTTCGTTGTCTTTCATCTTCCCACATAGCAGTTATACCAGGATTATGACCAATACAACCTTCATAAACATAATAAACTCATTAAAGATGTATAAACAGTAAAATGAAGACATAAAGATAAGTAAATTTTACTTTCAACATTTATTTGATTCAAGATGTCTTCAGCAATTACATCAACTTCAAGTTCACAACGACTGACTTTTTTCACAGTAGGATCCAGGCATAAATTTCTAAATAATGACAAATAACAAACATTAAAATGATGAATATCAACTGTAAAGATAGTTATCACAAAGATCATTTCAAAGTTAAACTAATTTTTTAAATGTAAATTCTGTAATCTGGATTGAGCATTGACTCTAAATCTTGGGATAAATCATACGCACATGTGTCAAATTTAGGATTAAGGATTTACACAAATCTTTTTGGTTTCAATTAATCTTCAAGTGTAAAATAAATGAATCAGACAAACCTAGGAATAGTGTCTTCATTCCAGTGTTGAGATGAAGGAAAATTGAGAAATGAATTTGGAGATGAACCATGAAGTGGAGTTGATTTATTATTATATGATTTTTATCTATAAAATTCAATTTGATGGTAAATAATCATTTGTGGTGTTAGATTTTTATAGAATGCTGAAAAATCAATAATGAAACTTTCCTGTTTTTGAAGAAATTCCTCTAAAATGAACTTTTCTTACATGAAGTAAGTTCATACCATAAAGATTGTAATCAATTAGAAACTAAAATAAACGATATTTCAATAAAATTCTTATAATGTAACTTAGTGAAAATCTATAGAAGTTGACCTACCAGGTAGGAGAAGACTAAAGAAGGTCAGTGCCATTAGTGTTGAATGACATTTTAACATTGTTACCAGTAATCATCTCATCTAGATGTGAAAACATCAATCAAGACTATCCCCAACAGTCCTTCTCAATACTGTAGTATCCTTTATGATCAACATCAACGAACATGCAGCTATACTTCCACAATGTGTTCAAACCATTTACTTTATTGACAAAATGTTTTGCACATGAAATTTACAGCTATAATCCATAATGGAATGTTTTTATTGGGCACCTGAGATCTGATGTATAATTATAGCAAAGTGGGCACCTATACATGCAAATGTTGCATCTCTGATGTCGGTAGAAAAGACAGCCCATTTTTTACTCCTATGTACAATACAAATATTGCTTTAATCAATTACTTTGAAAAACAATGAATGGGATTAATTTCTAAAGAAATAAACAACAAACTTTGCAGGCCTTGCCCCTGTCTGGTGCACAGTTTACAAACTAAACACTCCAGTCTAGGTTATAACAGTCAAAGATGTGTTTTTCCTCATTAATAATAAAAAACAATAATTACCTGTAGAATATAAGGAACATGAGCTTCGTGTGGTTGAAATGACTTGTTCAATATAGCTCCATTCTGAAGAAGATCAACAAGTCTGAAAAAAATGAAAAATTTTGATGTCGTTTTATGTTAGAACAACATGAAAAATATATCTTACTTGGGAATTATTCTTGGATTGTACAACTTCATCTTAATAAACTCTTCTTCGTTCTCATGATAACCATAAAATGGTCTAAAAAATAAAATCATTTTGGGTGAATAATATTGAAACGTTATTGGGTCGAAAATGGAAGATTTTGTATTGTGATGTAAAGAAGAGAGTAAAAAGATTTAATAATAGTAAGCTTTGTCAACATGAGGAGAAAACAAGGAAAATAACATTTTTTAACAATTTCAGTTTTATGAACATATTTCATAGAAGATGATGTTCTACCAAACGCAACTTGAACAGCAAAGTCTACACTTGTCGTAAATTGTTTCAGATATTTATCTGTGGGTTTAGTTCCATCGTAAGGTATGTATAAGTAAGGAAATACTTGATGAATATGAACACAAGTTTTCTGTCCACCAGGAGTTGAGCCAAATATCCTCAAAACTGGAACACGGTTAACATTCGCCTCGCGAAATTTAGAAAACAAAATATCTAAGCCATCTATAGGTTTTCCCACGTAAAAATCTGCATCTACAATCCTAACAGAAAACATTCTGTTGTTCCAAGTAAGAAAATATATCGTCAATTAAAATTTTTGAAAGACGAAAGACGAGAGTTGAATCCGCCATATTTGTTTTAGATTATAGATTAGCCAATCAAAGATTTTATAATCAAACCCTTATACCAAGTCATCGTAATCACCTTTTTGGGATTAGATGGGATTTAGAAATTTTCCAAGGGTGAGCATGACTTTATAGACCTCGCTAGAAAGGCTCACGCGTTTGGCGTTAGAAAATATGCTCCCCAGAAGTTCATGTCTTTCTTCATGTCTAACTACAACATTGCATGTAAAGGATTTCCGCTTTGGTCGAGCAAAATAGTGTCCGCATCCTGATGTTTTGGTCCCGTACAGCCATGTCAATACTGAAAGTTAACAATAGTTAAATGTGTACAACATTTATGAGTTGATTGACTTGAACTGAAATTGAATTTGCAATAAAATTTCTAAATCAATTCCTGTCGTGTATATTTCAATTATAGCTAAAATATAAAATTTGCTCATCTCATTTTATCGTCTCGCTGTTATGAACAGAATTCAATATTTTACAATAAAAACAGTAGGTGATTAAAATCAAGCATTTATTGAACATTCCAATTTCTTTATTATCAAGAAAAAGCAAAGACATCATATCAATGGTTGCGTCTCCCTTAATCTTTCTAAATTTGTTAAGGTATTTTAATTGATAAGTTTACCTATCAGAGTGTCATTGTTTGTCCTTATGTCTAGAATTTTGTTATATTTGTCATAAAAAAACCTGAATGTCATTTTCCTGGTGGAATTCGCGCTTCATAAGTTCAGGGGCCGCTGAAGTATCTCAAAAGGTGGGGTACTGACCGAAAAGGGCATGTGAGTTTGCAGCTTACTGTTTTAGTATATTACAGATATGCATTGTTTCATGAATCATGATTAAGTTTCAAAGTCTGCAAAATATTGGTAGACATTCTTAGAATGCTATGCGTATTCTCTACTGCTCGGCGTGCGTGCTAACAAATTGAACTAAGATGACTACATGAACAATTTTATTAAGTAATGCGATCTCATTAGACTTGTTCTACTTTGTTCTACTCTTGGGGCTACTTGTACCTAAGAAAAACTTCTTCAGTCCAATTTTACCAAAAACAAGGGCATTTCTATACCATGAAAAAGGGAACTTTCATTCCAGAAAAAGGGCACATTTTTCCCTGTTGCAAAAAGTAGGGGGGCACATGCCCTCAATGCTCCCCCGGTTCCGCGGCCTCTGCATATGTTTTATATTGATACATCTATTGATTTTGGTGGGATTTTCTCATTAACACATTGGATAATTTATCATTTCAAAATACTGACCTTTCTTGCATTATAACCAACAATTAATTTCATTAGTCTTTTCAAATATCATTGGTACGGCAGGGGTAAAAAATCAACAAAATGAATCAAAATCATAACACGTCACAGAATTTAAGTTTTGCATCTCATTATGTGCAATAATTTTAATTTTATCTAACATGACCTTTATCAAGAATAATTTTTTTCTCATTCATAAAGTCATTTATCTATTTATCTTATTCGTACCACAGATGATGACATAAAAACGTTTTGTAGGCAAGTCTTTAGAAATTGCGCCTACTTGGGGTGAAAAGATCACTTCTTCACGTGATAGTACACGTGATTTTTTTCTGGTCTATATTTGTTCAACATATTGTAAGATAGACTATTTAAAATATTTGTTTGTGTCAAAAGTTCGCAAAATGACAATACTTTGCATGATGAAGTGTCAAGTCCAAACGCTATCAATTTTGGAGTATCTCTGATTACTGAGATGTGACAAAATTAATCAAAATTAGAAACTTCGAGATTAACTACACTGAAATTCCCTTTTTAAATGTAGACTGCCCCTAAATCTTGAGCCCCCCAACTTTTACTCGCTTCTCACAACCCTGATCAAATTATTTGTTTATCCGGATCAAAAGTTTACAAAATGACAAAACTTCATTGACCACAATTCAAAGTTTGAACGCTGACAGTTTAAGAGAAGCTCTGCTTATCGATTTTCTTAACTTCTTGACTTATAGATCTTTAATTTTTGAGCTTTCTTACTTGTAAGATGTTGGCTGCCCCGTCTTCCTTTATGATTATTTCAGTCAGTTTGCATGTAAGTCAGGATGTTCAATAATTGAAATAAATAATAGTAAACTGTGAAAGGTTTATTGGCATAAAACTTCCAAGTCAAAACTTCTTTGTGTTTACTTCAGTCATAGCTAAAATAAAAAATTTGCATTTCATATTTAATTGGGTATGACCAGAATTCAATGTTTTACAATAAAAACAGCAGGTGATTAAAATCAAGCATTTATTTAACATTCCGATTTCTTTATTATCAAGCAAAAGCAAACACATCGAACAGTTGGGTGCGTCGTTTTTAATCTTTCTGAATTTGTGAAGGTATATTGATTTTAATGTTTACTCCTTTTATGTAATGGTGTATTTTAACCTTCTGATTTAATGTTTTGTGTACATGTATCAATTTTTTTTGTTTTGATATCACGAATATTGTAGTTAAATATAACTTATAAATTAGTGCTAAGTACGTTTTATATGGATAAATTTTCTTCATTTTGGTGGGATTTTCAAACACAGTTCCAATCGTTTATTCCAATCGTTTATTTCAAATTATATTAATACAGCAAAGTTTATTAAATTAATGTGTTAAGTCAAAATAATGACACGTCAAAGTATGTTAGACATACAAGTCATTATGCGCAATAATTTTACTTTTTCTAACATGGCTTTTATCATAACGTGTACAACATTTTATACAATATAGAACAAGAATACTCACATCGAAAGAGAGTATGAAGTTTATTATCTAGATGTTTACATTTCGCAAATTTTGCGTTAGATAACTATGGAACAATTAGTTGCTAAAGATTTGCATGATAACTAATTTTGTGTTGTTTCTGTGTCTTTGTTGAAAGGCATTTTTGACATGAATAACATTTGTTGACTTTCATGAGTTTTTTTAAACAATCACAAATAAATTTTAGAAAATTTAACGTTAGAAAACACTGAACTGTCCAGCATCATCGCCAGCAATACGAGGTAATTAATCAAATATTCCTATGGTTAATTTCAAATATTATTCATACAACAGGTCTAAAAAATCAACAAGATGAATCAATATTATAACACGTCACAGAATTTCAGCTATGCATATTATAAATGCGGAATGATTTTAATTTTATCTAATATGGCTTTTATCAAAAGGAATTTTTTTCCTCTTTCATATAGTCATCTATCTATTTATCTTATTCGTAACACAGATGATGACATAAAAACGTTTTGTTAGGTATGTCTTTAGAAAATGCGCCCACTCTGAGTAAAAAGCGCACATCTTCACGTGATAGTACACGTGATTTTTTTCTGGTCTATAATTGTTAAACCTGTTGTAAGATAGACTATTTAAAATATTTGTTTTCGTCAAAAGTTCACAAAATAACAAAACCTTGCATGATGAACTGTAAAATCCAAACGCTATCAATTTTGAAGTACCTCTGATTACTGAGATGTGACAAAATTAATCAAAACTAGAGACTTCGAGAATAGTTACTCAATTTTTAAATAAAGACTGCCCCTAAAATCTTGAGTCCCCCAACTTTTACTTGCTTCTCACGCCTCTTATCAGATTATTTGTTTATCCGCATCAAAAGTTTACAAAATTAAGAAACTTCATTGACCACGTTTCAAAGTTGGAACGCTGACAATTTCAGAGAAGCTCAGTTTATCGATGTTCGATAATTGAAATAAATAATAGTAAACTGTCAAAGGTTTATTTGCATAAAGCTTCCAAGTCAAAACTTCTTTGTCTTTATTTGAGTCATTGCTAAAATGAAAAATTTGCATTTTATATTCTATTGGGTATGAACAAAATTCAATATTTTACAATAAAAACAGCAGGTGATTAAGATCAATCATTTATTTAACATTCCGATCTCTTTATTATCAGGCAAAAGCAAACACATCATACAGTTGGGTGCGTCGTTTTTAATCTTTCTGAATTTGTGAAGGTATGTTGATTTTAATGTTTACTCCTTTTATGTAATGGTGTATTTTAACCTTCTGATTTAATGTTTTGTGTACATGTATCAATTTTTTTTGTTTTGATGTCACGAATATTGTAGTTAAATATAACTTATAAATAAGTGCCAAGTACGTTTTATATGGATAAATTTCTTCATTTTGGTGGGATTTTCAAACACAGATAAATTTTGGATACATTACACGTGGAAAATACGACTTTTCTCACATCAATACCAATTTACTCCAATCGTTTATTTCAAATTATATTAATACAGCAAAGTTAATAAATAAATGTGTTAAGTCAAAATAATGACACGTCAAAGTATGTTAGACATACATCTCATTATGTGCAATAATTTTACTTTTTCTAACATGGCTTTTATCATAACGTGTACAACATTTTATACAATATAGAACAAGAATACTCACATCGAAAGAGAGTATGAAGTTTATTATC